TGCATTTTCTAAAGACGCCAATTTCATGTTAGTCGATGAAGCAATAAATGAATAAAATTTACATTTAAGTGGCTCAGTTACATTCTGGCATTTAGGTTTTGTGTTGCTGGCATTCTCAGGTTATTGCCACCCACAAATTACCTTACATTGAGATTAAAAAGAGAACTTTTGATTTTGTTCTGAATTCAGTATAAGTAGTTTATCTATTTATTTATTTTTTGTTGTAGAATGTTGCAGCTATACATCTTACAGTGATTTTTTAAAAATTCATTAAAATTTGACTAGTCATCGCACTGAGTAGTTCTCAGCATTTCTCATCCATGGGAATGCAACAACGGAGAACAAGCTTTTGAACTTATGGAGAACCAGTCTGCATTTTAATTTGCCTGCAGGTAAAAATAATTAAAAATGGTTCGATTAACTGCTTGATCTATTTCACAACTTCACTTAAATTGAAATACAAATGTTTAAATTATATAAAATCATCTTGACTTCATCTCCAAGTAAAAAAAATGCAAATTATAAAATGAAAAGTTCTCAACTTCTCTCAGTTGAAAGTGTTGAAGACATCCCAAAATAACCCGCAATCACTTTGAAAAGAGTACAGTACACAAGCAATCAAAGCAAGTCATGTTCTCTTCTCACGTGTTAATGATTCATTTTAAACAAGGTGTGAAATCTGATTAAAATCACATGAGAAAAAACTGAGGGTTGTCAAAAGGAGACCCGCTCGTGATGGTCAGACTGTGAAATTGTGGCCCCGGGTTTTCCAGCAGTGTGAAAGCTTCTCTTTAGAGGCACTGCAAAAGGTCTTGAACTTTCAAGTGTGGCAGATCTCAAACAGTGAGGGCTATTATCACATCTTCCAGCAAGATCACACTGAAATCACACTTAAATTAAACAAGACTATTAAGATAAGCATGAAGGCTGAAAGGCATATAACAAGACTGTTCTATAAATTCAGAATTATTTTCAAACCTAAAACTACTTTGTGTGCTTTAACATAATATAATATAATATAATATAATATAATATAATATAATATAATATAATATAATTAAGTGGCACAATTACCAGGATCCATTTCAAAACAGGAGACTCTTCTGGTCACCAAGACGGCATTCATTTCATGCAGTAAAATAATTACTTGTAATTTCAGAATTATTTAAAAAGTAATTTATTTAATCTTTTTGAGCAATCATTACCCACGTTACACAATCCTTCTAAAATCATTCTAATTTGCTGATTTGCAGCTAAAAGAACACATGTATGTTGAAAACAGTCATGCTGCTTAATTTTGATGAAAACAAAATTTCTCTGGATTCTGATAAATAAAAGAACATTTATGTGTCATAGTAAAGGCACAATTGTAATAATATAGTATTGTTGCAAGTTTAGTTGACTTTCAATCAACTAAATCCATCCTTATTAATTTCTTTAGAAAAATTTAATTGCTTTGATGTCAAACTTTTGAACAGAAGCATACATCAGATACCCAAAGAAAACTTGGAAACTGAATATAATCAGAAGTCCAAGCTTTCACTATAATCCTCCAGTCTGTGCCTATTTTGCTTTGCCATTGATGCACTGATGTAACTAAGTGTTTATTTTACATCTATTCATGTTGCTTCTGGCCATTTCTGTGTGTCCATTGTCTGTCAGCACTGCTACAATAGCTTTGTTTATCTTTCCATTCTCCTCATTTAGCAGACCCTCCGAGCTGCCCGATAACACCTACAGTTCAAACAACACTGTGACAGTCTCTTCAGCAGCACTAAATACTGAATTAAACACTTTAATTCAGCCTCGTAAAACCTTTTTTGAAAATGCATTAATGGAATTTAATTCAAATGTAGCACTCTGCAAATGTTGAGCACTTTTCCAACCACTTTAAATTTAAATTCAGGAGCAGATCTGCTATGTCATTACCAGACCCGCACTGCAGCATCGCCTAAAAGAGCACATATAATAACAGCTGGGGGAGGATCCACGTGTATGAAATATTTATGTACTTAAAAGAGTGCTGTCAAAATAAAAGCCGCGTAAAGACAGATACACAAGAAACAAGTGAAGGAGAAAGGGAAAGTGTTCTGCTCTGAGAAATGAATTGTAAGAGACTTGAAGACTGATTTCTATGAGGTGGAAAGTACAACAGTGCCCTCCTCTGAGCAAATCAAGGAAAAATTAGAAAGAACAATGGAGTTTTATCTGTAGTTAACATTCTAGCATCATTTTCTGCTTTTTCCAGTTCATATGTCGATTCAAACTTAGTCAGACCATATTTAATTAATAACTAATTAAGACATACGATGTGTTTAGAAGATTACTGATAATTTACAAATTGTTCTGATTAACTTGTTTGAAGAATATGGGAAAACATTCAGAATTTTGAAAGTTGAGTAAAAAGAGACATAAATATTGTAAAAGTACCTCACAGCCTAGCTTTTATCTATAAAAAATTCAATATAGAGCCTAACCCTGAAGGTCTGACAGGCTTTTTCACATCTCATTTTGAATTTTAGAGCATGCTAATGGTTAAAGTTACACTTTTGGCACAATATGATAACAGAAACTCCATATTTAAGGAAGATTAGCAAGCCATTTAACATGGCTTGAACAAACACAACAGCAGGATAACAGCATCTTATACAAGTAATCTTCAACTAGGCCCTCTGGTGGTTGGAACCAAAACTACTTGTGATTAAATATTTAAAAATGCCAAACTGACTGGGTTAACAACATAAATAAAATAAAAAAATAAATATATATTGTCAGCAAACACAATTATGCCTAATGCTATTGTTGGTCATTTTAAATGGAAAAAGGAATGTGTACTTACTGTCCTGCTGTTTCTCTTTCAGCACTGAAACATGCCTCTTGTAACCTTTTTTCTCCAACAACATATTGTGAGCTTCAAGTGGAAACAGATTCTCCCGGAGTGTAAATCAATATTAAATGAATGTAAATTTATGGAATCTCTTTCCTTTTTATGGACGGACTCAGAGGTTTGTAAACAGAGATGAAAGCTGAGGGAATCTGAAGGCCAGCGTTGTTTAAACAGCCACTTTTATTTCATCGTCATTGGAGATTTTGGTGAATAATCACCTATAAAGGCCAGAATATGAGAAATGATGGTAATGTGAGAGGCGTTCAGGAACAAATGAGCAGCGGCGCGAGGCAGCGCTATTCCTGGATCTGCAGGCCGCACTCTTACTGGCAGCAGCAGCTCAAACTTGCCGCAGACACATATCATCTCATCTCATCTCTGAGTGACGAGAAACGACTGGTTTCAGGTGTCTAATGAGCTGCGGACGGTTTGCACTTGCCCTTTATATAAAAAAGGAATGGGGTGGGTAATAGGGGATATTAATTGGGGTGTTTAGTCAGTCATTGTCTCGCCGCAGTGAAATAAAATATTGGTTGGCAAATTTGACTACTTCCTCAAGCTAGATGTCACATTCATTGAATCATTTCTCACTGATATAAATTTAATTCTTATAATGTTAATAGTATTTTCTAACTTTTGTAAAACTGTAAATAAAGTGTATGTGCTGTAAAGTATCTTTGCAAAGATTTCATTTGAATGGTTTTACAAGTCTGGCTGCCAAGAGCTTCAGCTTTCAAGTCTTTCACAATCACTATAAATGATTTACAAGAATAATATCAAGATATAACATGTATTTATTTTTGATTTCCCTCAATCTCTTTTTTTCTCATATCATTTTCATGTAATAATAATAATGACTTCCTGTGTTTTAAAAAAAAAACTACACTGATCTTTTTTGTTGTTGTTTAGTTTTTTTTGTAGAAAGAGCTGTTTTGTACTTTAATGTCAATATGTCATACAAAAAAAGATTAATTTGAGCACACTTTGTTTTTGAAGTGTTGGGGTTTAAGGTGGACTGGCATTTAGTTCTGTGCAGGTTTTGCAGTTTGTTAGAGATTGCAAACCAAAGCCGAAACCTAATAACCACCTGTTTACAGAGTAATCAATTTTAAAGACAAATGGGTAATTTTTTTCATAATTACAAATTAAATTGTGTAATTACGATATCAGTTAACGTAAAACTTAATTGATATTAAACTTTAATTTAACTTCACATTTAAAAAAAAATCCCTTTGAAGTTATGAACTATTAATAATGCAGTTGATTGATTTGCATTGATCTAATCTAGTATTGTCTTTCCACTGCCTTCTCAAAATTCCCATACGGCAGGATTTATTCCTGCCTTGTAGATTTGCATACCCTTTCAAGCATGTAATTTAATTTGTTTGCAAGAACTAAAATGTACATTCTATATAGTTTGCATATGTGTTGTATGACTAATCTAGAAACCAAAGTCATCTTTTAGCCTACATTTTTAATTAAATGGATAGTTTCTTAAAAAAATGTTTTATCCACTATTTACTTACCCTTAAGTGGTTCTGTACCTATATGGGTTTCTTTTTTCTGTTGAACACAAAAGATATTTTAAAAGAGTGTCAATTAACTTCTATATTAAGAAAAAACAATATGAATTTGAATTTGCGTTCAAAAGAAGAAAGCAACTCAAACAGGTTTGTGACAAGTGAGGGGTAAGTAAATTATCACATAATTATCGGTTTTTTGCTGAACTATCCCCTTCAGACATGCTTCTTATACTGATTTTCTCCTGTGTGATTTCAAATGCAGCTAAACTGACACTTCTATGTGTCATGTGATTTAGTTTTCTGCAAGTGTCAAATTTTTCAGAGTGCTTGATCAAACCCTGGTATCCACGTGCTTCCTCTTTTCATGTAAATGTTGCTCCCAGCAGCATGGACAGCATCTGTACATTGTGTCCACAGGTCATGTGATCTAAACGCTAATGAAATAAGTTCCATTAAACAGCCACCGATGTTGCTGAATTCTGTTTATATAACCCCTTAAACAACCCTGATGAATTTAGTATATCCATAACATTTTGAAGACAGAATCATTTGAAATTAAGAGAAATACTAACTAAATAAAAAAAAGATACTTTTAACAAGTACAATAAATGTTTTAATAGTAATGTACAGAGACATCTTGAGCTGCAGATGAGCAGAATATATCTTTTGCCAGAGAACATGTAGATTTAATACCACAAGAAATCTGTCTTTTAGATGTCCTTCCCTCCAGCGACACCCGTGTACCTCACTTCAGCCAGATACCTTTGTCCCCGACATCTTCATTATAACCTTCAGCGTACCTCTTTCCCGGGAGCTAAGGAGACATTTCATTGTCACATGTTAGACTCTTTTAAGCTATAGTATGCAATAGCAACACTTTACAATGACCTTTAAAGAAATACACTGAAAACAAATTAAAACAAAAGACCAGCAATGTAATCCATATTCATAAGCTTCTCTTACACATGTTCCCTTGGCTGAGGTAAAGCTCCATGTTTTAGGGTGATTACTTACAAGTAGCGAGCAGATACAAATAAAAGAAAATCTAATGAGTGAACACACAAGGAGCTCATTACTCTGTAAGATCAATATTACAGTGGCAGGAATCACTAATGGCCATATAAAGTGCTTCTAACACCTGTACCAGAAGTCTATTGGACTACTGATTTTGTAATGCTACTGACATTCTTGAATGTCCTTAGGTGACACAAATGCTCTTAGAAAACACACAGTCACCATGTGGACACTTAAAGGAATATTGCTTGTGCTCGTGGACATACACCATTAATAGTAAGGCCGACAATATATTGGTTTCAGCATCGATGTCACATCACAGGATATAAGTTTTTCTTTTGCATTTGTTTTTGAAGCATGTCATTCTACGAGGGTTTTAAACAGTAAAATTTGTAATTTTAATAATGATTACATTTATTGAATTATTTATACAACAAAGACTATGAAGTATTATTTTACATTTGATTATTTAATTACTGTATACTGTTTGACTCACTGGAAAACAATAAAACATTGTTTAATTAATTTGTATAATTTTCTCTATTGTATTTATCTATGCTTGCAGATTGTTTATTATACTTTATGCAGATGCATTTTCAAACATAACCATCCCAATAAATCTAAAAATAGAAATTCCTTTCAAATAAAAATTTAAGTCAACTGCTGAAATTGTATTTATATCTATAATTGTATTTAAAATATCTAGGCTTTTATAATATGTGGGTTTTTTCCACTTTTTTGCAGCCCTAATTACTAGTATGCATCTGTCAAAACCTTAATTTAAGGTGGATACATCATCACTGAAACATTTAACGCTTCACATCATCTGATGTTGTCAAAAGCACCAGTTCTAAAACAAAAAGCTGATATGTACAGTTTTAAAGCTTAATAGCAGCCTTTGTGCATCACTAGTGGAAACTAGTCTGTTGAATAACTTTGCTTGCTTTCAATAGCAAACTTATTCATCATTTGAATAAACATTAGATATTTGATGCTGCCTACTTATCAACATTTAGAACAGTTCCAACAGTATAAAAATCCAAGACTGAATCTAAAAATTGCAAAGAGGATTTTAAAAGCAATATCTGACATTGCCAGGACAAAATAATCAATGCACAAAGTCTTGCAGTGTAAGTGCCACAGACTTGCCACTGTTTCTATTTCATAATTAAATTAAATAGCTGCTGAAATTGATAAAAAGAACTGTTAAGTTTTACTCACTGGTAAAGACTGCTTAGATTATGATACTGTGATAGCACTGACTGCCTCCATGATGCCTTTAATACATTTAAATGAAGTCACTACTGATAAAATAAACAAGAACAACTTTTTCTAAAACAGTTCACGCTTGAAAGGCATGGTAGGACAGGGCTAAAATTTGATTTTAAACACATATGAATCACTACATTTAGCACAGTTTCAGCATTCACATACCGATTTGAAAGCATAATAGGTGGAATCTAACTCATGAGCACCAATTGTGATTTCTGGGATAAAGCTGGGAAAGCTGGTCAGGCTGGTTACCCTCTGCTTGTCTTCCACCCTAATAAATGAGGGAAAAAGGTATAAAAAAAAATAGATCTCTCAAAACAGATGTCCAATCTCTGTAAAAAACAATGGAATGAAAAAAGGCACACAAAAACAATACTCACAACATTCGCATATGATGGAAAGAGACATCATTCTGATTCACCCAAGGGCCCTTCTGAAACTTGAGGCATTCAATATCCTCAACAACCTGCAAAAGCAGAATAGAGAAATAAGTCACATTTGCCTGCCTCAGGTGCTAAATACACAGACTGGATCATTACCTTCTCAACGTCCTGGGCTTCAACTGCACCATATGTAAGAACCTCTGCTTCTTCACTGAAAATGAAATTTACCACACCATCAATGAAAACTGATTGATATATTTTAATTATTTTAATAAACAACTGCTTTTTATAAATATTTAAGCATTTTTATATTAGTAACATTTCCAACATGAACCTGGTTGCTTTGGTACTGACCTGATTTTAGGAAGGAAGGTCTTCTTGTATGCAGTCTCAATGCTCTTCAGGTAGCTCAAAGGAACATTCTGTAGGTATGGCTGTAGAAGGAGATAAGGATTATTTCACTGTCATACTTTTATAAACACCAGTTACTAAATTCATAAAATCTTGTATATCTAGTATTTAGGCAATTAGGTATTTACTAACAAAGTTAGAGCATTGAAAAGAAAAAAAATCATAAGCTGCTTCGGTTAATGTTTTGTGTAAGTTATTTTGTAAATAATTAAACGATGTACAAAAGCCCTTATTCATATATAATATAATAATACAATTTTAATATGGTAAATTAAAATATAACAATTATGGCTAATCAAAAATATGTTAAAACCAGAAATAAATTGATAGTTTTATGGTACTTGTATGCTTATTTTTTGTACATAAAATCCATGTGAAATAGAAATGTCAATGTTTATTTTGCTGGCACACATAGTTCTTCTTTGGGTAAACAATAAGTTTGTGCAAGTTAATCCACTGATAGAAAATGTATTTTTTAGAATCTTCAATTGACCCTTTGCTAAACCCCGCCTTCCTCAGTTACTGCTGTTACGCCTGTCAAGCTTTCGTGCTTTGCCCATCTATTACAATATGTATGCGTCGGTGTCAGACATTCCCAGGCATATAATTAGTCATTTTTGGTGAACAAGTGAGATATCTGAAAAAGCCAGACAAGAAAAACTGCAGTATGCATTACAGGGGTATATTCACGACCTAAATCGCAACTGATTAGAAAATCATTTAATCAAAATTTAAGCTAGATTAGCCTAGCCGCCTCATACACTAACCATTCAATAGCTTAGTTAAAGCACAGCAGAAGAAGAGAAATTAAAAAAAGAATCTAATAATAACTAATTAAACACACATGGACAGTGCTTCTACATAATTCATTCATTTAAAGAATCGCCAGATAGGGGAAAGTGATGGATTTGTGCCAAATATTAGCATCATTGACCCATTACAATGTACAATACTTATAACTGTCAGAATATTTGTGAGATTTTTATACCATTTTCCATTCTACTTTGTAGTTAAATGGAAAAAATAAATAAATTAAAATGCAAATCAAAGTATAAATAGCAGAAGAGAACAAACTGATTTTTCATACCAGCAAATATTAATCCAACACCAAATATAAAGGCAGATACTAACCCGCTATAACATCGTCATCAATAGATAAAAAAAATTTCCAAAAGACCGACAAAAACAACAGTGAACTGTAGCTCTGACATGGACATGAGGGTTATAAATTACTAAAAAACAGCTGCGGGTGAAGTATATTGATCACAAGTGCTCAGTTTGTGATCATATCTCGGTTTTGTTCTGTTGATATGTAATCCAAATATTCGTAGCTTAAAACAAATGGACATATGACTGTATTGTGCTGCTTTTATGGCCCCTCACACAGCTTTGTCCACGTCAGCATTTCTCCCATTTGGTTTTAGATTTTGGAAAGGAAAAAAAAAATTCACCACCCCGTCCAAACTTTAAGGATGCCGGGTATCATATTTGCACCATCTATATGCACAACGATTTGGCTTTTTTCCGTTGCTCAAAGCTTGACAGACCTCCCGCATGTAGCTACGGTTGTTAAGCCATGATTGGTGTGTGGCAGTTTTCGAGTGTGGCTTAGCGAAGGAACAATTAAAGTCTGACTATTTCTTCTGCGTTTGGAGTGGTGGACCTTCTCTGTTGACATCAGTTTGATGACTCAACCACAATATTCTTAACCCTGCCCCCTCACCTTTAGTTTGCTACAAGTAAATGATGCGGCCCTACTCAATATTATCTTTAAGTTAGAAGTACATAAACAAACTGAAACAAAAGTCTCAGCAAGGTCTAGTTTACACAACCACAAATCAAGCAGCTATTTATTCTGGCCAAAACTTAGTTTGTTTCTGTCCTCACACATACCTTTCCTGATGCTTTGAGCTTCTTCTGGACCTCTTCAGCAGGTGAGTCCACGTAGATGACAAGATGAGGGGGAAGAAACTCACAAATACTGATACCCTTAATCTCATTATAGTGATTCACGCCTGCAAAATAACAAGCAACACATACGTTCTAACAACACAGCTTTGATGTACATCCAATATGACTCTAGTACTCTTTCATATCTTTTTACATTATGAAATTCACACACTATCACTCACACTGCTTGCGGATGTATCCTTCTTTGAACATGGCCTCCAAAAACACAACGTCACTAAAAGGAGATCGTTCCAGTATAACTCCCTGTCCTGAAGGGAAAAAAATCAAAGAGAAACCCCCTAAGTATGATTGTGTCCTTAAGAGCAACAGTGTTCTCAAAACTTGGTTTATAAAGTAAAAAGTACTTCATTCTTAATTGCAACATCAATCTACATCTCCATGTAATACAAGTGTGCTTTGGTAACCTGTCGTGAGCAGGTGTTCAACAGCATCAGAGTACTGCAGAAGCCTCATGAGGTACATCCAAGCCTGCAGGCGGTATGAGTTTCCATCACTGGCTTTGGGCTCCAAGTAGAACTTCTCCAGAGAGCAGTTCCCATTAAAAGCCTGATCTAAAGGAACTTTCTCCTTTGTCATTTTGTCCACATAGTGTGTGTCTGGCTCGGGCATGTACAGCATTCCTGAAGAGACAGACATTGAACAAATACTGAATATTCACTAAAGAGTTACAGAGTTTAGACAAATACTATTTCACTATTGTAAAGATGATTCTTATGAAGTTCAAATAAAACATTAGAGAAGGGAAGAAGAAACTGTGATTTAAGTGATTTTAAATGTGGCTGCTGGTGCCAGATGGGCTGATAAGAGAATTTCACAACCACAGAAAAGCAAAGAAAATAGAGCAGCTTAAGAACACACTGGAAACAGGATATAATTCACACAGGCTCAAATATGTTGGGTTGCAAGTCTGAATTCTGGCCAGAACTTAGTATACGCTATACGCATTTGGCTTACAGTGTGCATTTATCATAGTATTGTCTTAGCGAATCCCATGTAATTCCATTAAAAGTTGAGTTATTAGTTTGAGAACTTTTTAGTCAGGATTTTGCATAGAAAATACTTCTATAATAAACAAAAAGATATTAATCTGCATCTTTTTGAACATTTAGTAGGTTTCTGTGGCACATTATTCACTTCCATCATGTGATGGAAATAAACACTTCCTTAAGGTGCAAACTGCTATATAGCACATGAATGAGTGTGTATGGATGTTTCCCAGAGAAGGGTATCCGCTTCGTGGACCACATGCTGGATTGGTTGGTGGTTGGAACCCAGATTAACAAAGGGACTAAGCCAAAAAGAAAATGAATGATTTAATGAATGACTAAGAGAAAGAGAAAGAGAGAGAGAGAGAGAGTCATACTCATAACTTATTATATTACGGTGGGGACTCTCATAGACGTAGTTATGTTTTTACTGTACAAACTCGATTTCCTATCCTCTAAATTTAACATTTAAAAAAAAACTCTCTGCATTTTTACCCTAGGTTAACAAGTTCCCATAAGAATGTGTGCATGGGGAAATGATAACAAACACACACACACACACACACACACACACACACACAAACAAAGCGTGTCGTAAACGATCTTACCCAGCTTTTCGGCCAATTCTTGTGCAAGTACTCCTTTTCCAGACGCCAAGTTGCCATCAATGGAAATAATTTTGCTGTTTTCCTTGAAGCGGGAGCTTGCCCTCTCACCCATAACGTAAGCCAACCATCCATAACGCAGGTTTCTGACAGCACTTGTGTGGATTTTAGCCTTTAAAATATAAAATATCTTGTTATTCTTCTCTATCAGGATGTGGTAGTCTGAGGGCGTCAGCTGCTGTACAGTAAGTTATATTAATGCGGGTTCTGACACTGTTAGAGCCGCTTTTGGCAGAACTACAGCCAATCTCAAACACTCATTTGTTGATAAATATATTGTTCATATCTAATAGGATGTCAATAGACATTTATATAATCGTTACAATGATTAAGTAAAGAAATAGACAGATACATCCATGTGACAGCACGAAGTGATTTGCACAGCTGAATTCTGCTGTTGTCCTTCAGTCTGAACTACATTAGGCCTAACGTTAACATAAACGATAAAGCTTTCGCCTGGATAATAGAGGCCGTGTATCAATCTTACCGTTTGTATAGGCGACACAGGTTTCCAAGCTGCTGCACCCGAAGGCACAACTAGCCGAAACAACCGCAACGCCATAGCGAAACTACAAGATTTCTAGCGAGTTCAATGATCCTCAATGTCGACGAAGGATCTCGCGTCGCGGGAGATGTACGTCATCAGTGCGACATGCGGTTGTTTCACATGACAAAAGCCTTCGTAAAATAAAATAAAATAAAATAAAATAAAATAAAATAAAATAAAATAAAATAAACATTCTTAAATAAATACAAAATGTTCAATACGTTTTAATATTTGGAACATTACAGTAACATGCAATGTATAAGCAAATTATGGATAAAGTCAGTTAGCTATTTGAGTTCAAGGTATTCATTTATTCATTTATTTTCTTTTCGGCTTATTCCCTTTATTAATCAGGGGTCGCCACAGCGGGATGAACCGCCAACTTATCCAACATATGTTTAATGCAGTGGATGCCCTTCCAGCTGCAAACCAGCTGGGAAACGCCCATATCATATCATTCACACAATTACACTGCAGTCAGTCTAGCTCACCCAAGGTTCAGGATTATATATATATATATATATATATATATATATATATATATATATATATATATATATATTAATATAATTATGCTCATGCTGAATAAAAAGCGATTTAATCCCAAAACACCATGGTGAAAGAGCAAAATAATATCTGGTACATGTACAATAGTAAATAAATGATAATATTATCAGAAAAATAATGCAGTATGATAGTTTGAGGCATAATATAAAAACTTTAAGCTATTTTGTTCATAAAACCAACACAAGAGTGAAAATGCAATTGCAATCTAAAATTGGGACAGGGCTGATTTTTCCTGGGAGAAAAAAAATGTAAAGAATGGTGGTAACACCAAATGTTGACATGATTTAGTTATTAGAAGATGATTCGTAAATAAAATCTAATTATTTCATTTTTAAAACATCTTCAGGCTTTGCAGGAAAGTTTTTAAAGTGTTTTGTAGATCTTATCTTCATAAAGTAGGTCTGCTTAATTGATCTAGACGGTAATATTGGGACAGGGCACATGTGTTTGGTCAGTTTATTCTGAGAGTTTGCACAGATTTCATTTTGGTTGAAAAAAAAGTTCAGCAGGCGTGTGGCATGGCCAAGTTTATCTTATTGTCAGTAGATGTCAGTAAAGTTCACGTTGGCGTTTAAATCGGTATAAATGCTGACAGAAGAAGAAAAAGAACCTGTTGCCATAGTAACTGTTGTTAGCTGGAGCAGATTTGTTGTTGGCTAATTTTGAAGCTCTTCGCGTTGATGCTCTCGACGTCAGATGTGTTGATATTTTCTGCCGCGTGGAAAAGCGAATTTAATAAAACCAGAAACGCGCTTTATTGCAGCTCTGATCTGGACCGGTAATTACATGTATTTCTTACCGCTCTGACTCTTGTGTTTTGGATGACCGACAGCTTGTTCAGCTAAACAGATTTAGTGGCTCTGATACATCGCCAGCCATACTTTTTAAAATCGAGATTGTTTTTAACCAATAGATAGTAAGTCATGTAGCGTTAACTAAAAATATTCCCATAAAATTAACGTTTCCAGTATTATTTTCTCCGTAAAGCCGTTTAACGGTCGCCGTTTTGTACGTTAATGGTTTGCATTTATTGATTATCAAACAAATCAAAGAAACCCACTGCTATTGATATGAACACTGACAGCAGATTAAAAACAGTAAAGTCGATTAATCACACATGTCTACTTTTACTAATTACATATTATTTACATTTGCACATTCACGCTCTGCTTTGCTCATGTAATAGTCTGTTCTCGTTTTTCATTTATGTGAGATAATAATTCAATCATGTCTGTGTTCATATCTCTCTGAGGTACTGGAGGACAGAGGATGTCTGGAGATTTGGTAGCTGTGTGGGAAGTGGCTTTGAGTGATGGTGTGCACAGGATTGAATTTGAACATGGCACAACCACAGGAAAAAGAGTTATTTACATTGATGGAAAGGTAACAGACATCTATTTTTACACACATAGCTGACACTCTGGGTAATCTTGTAGAATTGCTGTCTTTCTTGTGTGATTGAATTAATGAAAACATAAAATTAAATAATGGTAATAATACAAAAGCAACACCACCAACAACTAACAATTTGAATAAGTGAGTTGTAGTCAGTCTGTTTGTTAACAAAGTTGTAGAGTTTATTGAAGGAAATTGGTTGTTTATGAATAATTATACAATAAGAAAGTAATTCTATGAATGTTAATGAAATTAATACAAACAGCAGGGGGAAATCTTAGTTGCAGTTGGATGTTGTCTTAGCAATATTAGAATAATTTAAGAAGTGTGTACAATTGTTAGGCATGGGCCGGTATAAGATTCTGACAGTATCATAACCTTGGATAAAAATATCATGGTATGACGGTACTGTGATTACTGCTCTAAAATATATTCTTTTTAAATGTCTGGATAAAAAATAAATAAAATAAAAAAACTTTTTCCCCTTTGAAAACAATATATTCTTTTTTTGAAAGATTTATGATATTTTGGAGCAGTAACCACGTCAGGTTACCACGTCATTGACTTCTGCTGTTTTCAATAGTTTGAAAAACACCGATTTCTTTACAATTTAAATGCCATTTTTAGATTTTTTTTCTGCTTGAGATACTATTCAAAAAAATTTAAATATTAAATCTAAAACATACATTAGGGACGATAGTACAGAAAATTTTGGCGTTATTAAAACCTTGCCTTTTCCAAACCTCAGTGTACCTTAAAAACGGTTATCGTCCCATGCCTAATGTATGTGCTTGTGTGGGTTTCATCTGAGTGCTCCGGTTTCCTCCACAGTCCAAAGACATGTGCTATAGGTAAATTTGGTAAAACTAAACTAAAATTGACTATAGTTAGTAGAACAAGTAGCTTCTTGTCATTTGAATCAATTAAAACATATCTGTGCAGGGAGAATAGTAAGTTCTGCACTTTAAGAATTCATAATGAAAGAGTTGAATAATTATGCACTTTATATCTCAGGACATTAGAGTCAAACTAAATTAAGTGCTATTGAATACTGACTGCATAGTGTTTGGAATTGGATACACAATAATTGTTATGTACTTACATTTTGGTATGTAGTTACACATACATACACTTGCAAGGATTTACTGTACAACTCTATTACGATACTGTAGTAGTTAGGATGACCTAATATAAAGTGTGACCATCAATAGATAATGATTGTGAAAATTATAGTTAAAGTGACAGGAGTATTTCATACTGGTGATTGCAAAATAAGTAAAAGTGCTTCACAGAAATGTTTGGTATTTTCACAGGAAGTCATAAGAAGAGATTGGATGTTCAAACTGGTTGGAAAGGAGACTTTTAATGTGGGTAGTACAGATACAAAGGCCACTATTAACATCGATGCAGTGAGTGGCTTTGCATATGAATACACTCTAGAGATTAATGGACAGAGCCTCAGGAAGTACATGGAGAACCGCTCTAAAGTGACCAGCACATGGCTCCTTAACCTGGACGGCATTGACTGCAGGGTGGTTCTGGGTAAGAAATACCTGCTCACAGCTTCCTCAAATAAACATGATTTGACTTATCTGTGAGTATGTTGTACCTTTTGTTGTTCTTTTGCATTATAGATACTTGCATTTTCAAAAGAGTTTCATCCAAAAAAAATTATTAATTTAAACTGAAATGGTATTAAACATTAACTTGTGAACAGAATAAGTAACATACAGTACAGCTAATCACTGAAATGCTGAAAGCCTTTCCTCACTCAACCTCTGTGACCTGCCACACAGTAGCAGTGATTAGCTTTAGGTTAAATAAAGGTTAAAAAAAGATTACAAATCCCTTTAACTAATTGGTGCTTCGCAAGAGAAGACACCTCTCTTGGAATAAAAACAAGAAGCAAGATTCTGCAATACAGCAGTTTCAGAAACACATTTCTACAGTTTTTTTGTTGAATGAGACAAAAAGTGAGAGTAAATAGTGTTTTAAAGCACTCACTGTTCTGTTGTGTTTTTCTATTATTCGTTTTTAAAAATAAATATTTACTGTTTTAATTATCGATGATGCAAGGACCCTGTTGGACTTATATGCCCTTAAACAACCTCAAAGCCTAGTAAACATTACCACTGTAACCTTACGAAAGGAAGTTATTCTTTTTAATAAGATTTTTTTATCTTATTGTGGCATAATGCTTCTTTATCCAATGTGTGGATGGCTTCATAAAGTGAATAAATGAGTAAATCTGCTTGTGCTATGTATATTATGATAATTAATAAAGGATTATGACAATAGTTTTCAACATCAAGCAACATAACATGTTTTTGCACAGCTAATATAAATAAAGCAGCTGACTCTGTAAACCTTGCAATGTTAAATTTTAAATGGCAATGTCCACTTTTAAGTTAAATGTAAGTTAAAAATGTCATAAAAAATGCAATGATTCCCATACTATGAAATCAATCTAGGGCCATGTATACTTGCAGAATAAAATAATGTTTTGCAAACAAAAAATAAATTATTGAGCAAAAAATAAATGCAAATCTCCAAAAATCGCAAAGCAAAAATAAATATTTGCTAACAAAAAGAAAGAACTGCAAAGGGAAAATTACGTTTTAAGAAATAAGAATGAAATTTGCAAACAAAAAAAGAATAGTAATAAAAATCAAGCAGTGCAGAAAAACTAAAATATTTGCATTAAAAAAGATAACTATATATATTTGCAAAACATTTTTATAGCATTGCCTTTACAAAACCCGTCGAGTCGATTGCAATGCTCATTTTTATTAGCTTTTTAGTCAATCGTGAGTTTGCGAGGCTTTTTTCTCGTTGCACTTCAAGTTTCTGCTTTACTTTGTAGCCCTGATTTGACAAGCGGCTGAGTCAAGGGAAGTTGGGCATTTAAGGCAGATGTGGACCTGCATCCATTTAAGCGACGTCATCTGTTGGAGACACAGCATCAGTGAAGTGGTCTTACTGCCCAGTAGGTCTGAGCCTGCCGTAAACACCCAAATTTCCTTATAACGCTTGGTTTGTAAAGGCAATGCTATAAAAATGTTTTGCAAATATATATAGTTTATTATATATACATATATATATTCAGGTTTTTTGTGCAAATTTCATTTTTATTTATCATTTTCCCTTGGCAGTTCTTTATTTTTGTTAGCAAAATTCATTTTTATTTCTCAAAAATACATTTTTGCATTGCGATATTTAAAGATTTGCATTTATTTTTTGCTCAATACTTCAATACTGCAAGTATTTATGGCCCTTGATAGACTCCATACCCATCAGTCTTCTCTTTGCACCTGTTTGTTTTAAATCAGGTCTCCTTTTATTTAGAATAATTGACTAGGTGTTAATGTCGCCAAATCTAGGGTTTCGAAAATGCAGTCTTGAACTGCAGTTTTCTGTTTTATAGGACTAACTATGATGAATAATAACATTCTCAAAACAGCAGTTTTAACCTCATAGAGGCGCTACTGAGTAGGAAGTGCGGCTTATGTTAACATTGGTATTTTCTATCAGAGCATATGACTTGGTTAGATTTAAATGTGAAAGAGAAACTTGCAATAACTTTCCAGACCTTTGATTTATGCTTGATGTTTCATATGGGTGTAGCAGGAAATGTTTTAAAGACTTTCCACAAGATACCAATCACAGGTCAAGTCACATAAAAATAATTTAGTGATAAATCCTTAAAAATAATTTGAGGCTGAAAAGTAGACTTGTTAAAGATGAAAGATTTAGTGCAATCAAGTCCTCCAAATTGCAAGTTTTAATAGCAACATAGATCACTAAAATTAAAAAAAAAGTTGTGACATGCCATTTATGTTACTAATCACCTTATTTGTTTTATGTTTTAAACTGTGCTGATGTATAGAGAGTATGTTTCATTATTGACAAGTAACTGAACAACAAGAAACAAGAACTGAACAACAAGAAAAGCTTAACACAAGACACAAAATATAACTAATGCAAAGGTCCTAGATTTACAGCGAGTCAGAGTCTAAAGGTGATTAAAGATTATGACACAGATTGAAAGCAGGATTTTTATTGTTGTTTTTATCTTTACCACTCATTCTGCCACCTGCTAATTCATCACTCATAAACTTTTTCATCTTCAACAGAGAAAGATACCATGGATATATGGTGCAATGGACAGAAAATGGAAACAGCTGTAAGTCCAGTAGCTTTACTTATTCACCATTGTTTTATAAGCAATTATTTTTATTTTTTTTGTAACAAATTTTAACAATAAGGTGTCATTATTAACTACCAACGAGCAACATTCTGAAGGCATTCCACAGTTTTTATTCATTTATTTATACGATTTTAACATTTTAAGTTGCATAAATTAACATTAGGCAATCATGAACAAACATGAAGATAAAAATTAACAGTGTAACACTAATAATGTCAGCCAAGATCACAAATGCAGCAAGAAAGCATTATATTGTAGCTCATGATACCTAAAGCATTAACCAATGTTAGCAAATTGATTTTTAATACAGTGTTACTATAAAAATTGTATCTTATTATTATAATTTTAATTATGTTACATAGTTTTAGCACCACAGTTAGTAAAACATCTAAAAAAAGAAAAGCTTCACCATTTTAAATAAAATTAGGAGTGTCTGGAGTTAAAAACTGTTCATTTAATCTCAGTTCAACAGCACATTATATACATATCGCAAACTAAAGGTTGACACAGGACTGAATTTTCAAATCTCTCCCATCCCATTACCAAAACAAATAAATCCTATCCCAATCCCATGAAAAAACAGGAAAATCCTGTTCATATTTCTGGTGTTTGGCACTACCACCCCCAAATGTTATGGATGTGTGCGTATGTTCACTTAACCAGCCACTCCAAACAGGAGGAGAGTTAAAGGAGACAGGGCAACTAGAATTGAGTTTAAAATTCAAATATATGGTTTAGTATCTGTGTATAAATGTGTGTATCATACTGTTATTAGGGTTCCCACACACTGTCCCACCTCAGTTACATGATTAATAGGGCTTCTATCTCAGGAGATCATGTAAATTCTGCAGGAAACAACTTCTACAACAAACTTGGTTTAATTTAGTGGAAAATAATCCGAATGTATTGATGTAAATTCATTCAATCATTTTTTTTCGGCTTAGTCCCTTTATTAGTCAGGGGTTGCCACAGAGGAATGAACCACCAACTTATCCAGCACATGTTTTACAAAGCTGATGCTCTTCCAGCTGCATTCCATCACTAAGAAACATCCATACACTCTCACACGTACACTACAGACAATTGAGCCTACCCAATTCATCTATAGAGCATGTCTATGGACTTTGGGGGAAAACGGAGCACCCGGAGGAAACTTATGCGAACACAGGAAACAAGCAAACGCCACACAGAAATGCCAACTGACCCAGCCGAGGCTCAAACTAGTGACCCTGTGAGGCGACAGTGCTACCCACTGCGCCACCATGCCGTCCTACAAATTAGTGTGACTTAATGAAATCAAATCAGAAAATGTTTTTTTGATATACTCTATCTAAATCTACCTAATGCATTAAGTGCCCTGACAGGACAGATGGTGCAATGAAAATGTAAAAATGTGAACAATGTTTGATGATTGTCACTTTCAAAGGACATACTGGCACACTGGTTTTACAGCATGCCTGATTACCATAACAACATCCCTTCAAGAGAAAAGCATTCACCTGTCATGTTGTTCTCCCTCAGGGTGAGTTCGTGGAGGACGGTACAGAGACACACTTCACTCTGGGTGACCATGACTGCTGCATCAAAGCTGTGAGCAGCGGCAAGAGACGAGATGGCATCATTCACACACTGCTGGTGGACGGCATGGAGATCTCCGAGGCAGAATGAGCTGTCCGAATGACTGTGTGAGAGTGTCTGGATGATCCATCCTCATCAGAAGAGTGTACAGTATATACGGATGTTGGGTTACCATGTGCTCATTTCTGACCACAAATCAGCGTGTGCTGGTTCAGTAATGGTCCACTTTGAGGCATGAGAAACAGACGTGTCTTACAAACACTTGTTTTTTTTGCTTTATAGCAATTGTTCTCTCTAAATGGTTCATTTATTCTTTTCGGGAAGTGATGTCAATGTTTTTTTTTTATTATTCTTACAGTGAAGTTAACTGTGACACGTATATATTTGTGAATGCCTGGACCTATTTTTTAGATCCACTGCAAAAAATAATAATAATAAATTATATATATATATATATATATATATATATATATATATATATATATATATATATATATATAATTATCTATATCTTTAATATTTTACTTTAATCATGTTGTTCAGTGCAAACATTCTTAAATTACAATTCAAGATGAATATATATAAGCGTGGTCCAAGTATGGATTACAAATGAACGTGTGTTGTTTAGAGAATTTTGTCCAAAATCTACTGATTCATAAAGGGTCAGAATACAGCAATAATATTGTTTAGGGAAATATGATTTAATATGACTCTGTGTTTTAAGATACTTTGTCTCATGGCCTTTGACAATAACATATTTCTGGTTGTTCAAGCTTCTTGTCTGGTGAATTCAAGGTCATGTGATGTGCTCATCTTCTTCTGGCATTAGCTTACTTCCGAAACAACTCCTATATGTGAACATGTTATCATGACACACTGTTTAGATCAGTGTTTAGGCTGAACTGAAAAATGTTTCTGAATTTAAACATAAACAAGCTACATTTGCCTAAGACAGGGCATACACTGTGCAACTTTTTTGCGATTTGTACAAGGTACCAACTCGCAGCGTTTTGGGAAGATCACTTGCGATGTAAAAAAGCTCACTATTCATGTGCACATTGCACACACAATACAGTGCGATTGGTCCGTAGTGAGTTGACTGGTCACACTGTGCATATGAAATTGCACTGGGTTCCATTCGGAAGGGCTCATCTGTATGCCCAAAAACTTTCGGAGGGTCACTTTTGAATTGAGTGGAGTGTGTGAAACCAAACAATTTCCCTGCTTAAAGGATCACGGTCTAAAAACTGTCCATCAGTTGTAGTTTTTTTTTTACATCCTTCATTCAAAAGGGCCCTTCGAAGTAGCCAGTTTTAAGCACTTTGGTTTGGAACAACATTTCAATATGGCAGTCATGATTTATTCCACTCTGAATTGCCATACAGCAGGTAATATTTCCAGACTGCATTCCAGTACAATTTTTTATGCCCTTCACTCGCTAACATCTCTCCGTCTCGTTCCCTTAGATGTACATCATTGATTTTGTTACACAAGTGTCCACTACTGGCGAACATCAGAATGGGTTTAAATGGAATGCCTTTTAAACCCTTGATTGCCTGGGATCTACCTTATTGTGACATCACAGTTACATTGCATGCTAAAGTGTACATATGAAAGCTTCTCTCAATCACTTGAAGAGGCAGAATGCATTTTAAAATGGCGGTGGGGATTCTCGTACCCACTTCTTCTACTTTTTTGTTAGATGGTGGTTGGCAAACTAGTAATTTACGTTTTTTTATCCTGCTCAATATCTGTAAATATTGCACCATCTAACCCCCCTGAACCTGGAAGTGTGTGTGCCTGTTTCTGTTTTGTGCAGGTGCCGTCATATGCTGTATCTGAAATCACCTCCTATATCTTCATGCACAATTCCTTCCATTAGTCCACTAATGTAGTCCATTTGAAGGAGTGAATGAAAAGAGTGAATTTGGGCACGTAGTACACCAGAAGGGATGCCGGGTTCTTTGTGTTTTGAATTTCCTGGGTCACCCCCTGTGATAGTTATTTAATTTTACACTTAACAAGCTGTCTATTAGTAATGAAACTTTAATTTCTGTCACAGATACAAATGTTGTTTTAAATAAAATGTAATTTCTAAGCTTACAACAATAGGACTGCGCTTTAGATGTCACCTTGTGGTCAGTTGTGGACGGCTTTCAGCGATGAAGCTCTCTCAGTGCATTTTGTGGATGTTCTAGCTGTTAAGCGTACATGGGTTGTAGACTCATTATTGCTGTGCATTGTGGGATTGATGGAGTGCACTTCACAACATCCACTATGGTTTGGGATACCACTCAAAATGGCTGTTATGGGGGGGCAACTTCGGATAACAATTTTAATGTCTTTGGGTGCTGTGGGATGCACAAACATTGAGTTTTGTTCAATCGATTTAAAGTTCTTATTTTACTGTGCAATTCCCTCACAAGGGCAGACCAAAATGTCTGAATTGCCAGAAAATGTCAGAATTAGTTTACCTTGTTTAGTGCACAGACAATGCATGGCAAAGCTGTAATTCAGCCCGATTAAAAAAATAATAAAATTCACACGATACAGAATTTGGATCAAAATCTGACCCAAAATCATACTGTATAACTGGCTTAACATGTGAAAATTATTACAGTTTTTAACAATTTGTACATTTTTACTTTGCTGAAAATTTGATTTGTATTAAAATATTCTTAAAATATATTTATATAAATATTACACCGGTGATATCAATATTGAAATGTCAATATATTTTCAGTTAAAATAATTGTACCCTTTCATTGTTTTATACTTCTTTCAATACAAATCTTGTCTTATTATAGCCTTATTGTATTTCTGTAATAAAAAATTTATTCTACATCTATATTACAATCTTGTTCAGATGAAAGCAATAATGAGAGAAAATTTGGTTGGAATTTGGCATTTTTTTATTTATGTCAAAGCATTCCATATTATTCAGCTGTGCAAATCACATTGAATATGAAGATCTTGATTTCTCATAAAATAAACGGTCCCAGACTGTTTGTATTCTATTAACTGATAAATGAATTTAAGCATACTTTTAAATCATAAACCTATAAGCTAAACTATTTACCCTTATTCTGTTATGATCAATGATTATTTTCATTTTACACCAATATTTACAAATTACTTAATAATAATAAAAATTGTACACTACTATTAAAAAATTTGAAGTCTGAAATCGATGCATTTGAAAGAGTTATTTTTTAATTATTTTTTGTATAAAATAATGCAATCTTAAATTGTAAATTGAAAATTTGTCAATTGTTAATGTTTTGCATTTTGATATATCTTAAATGTAATTTATTCTTGTAATGTCAAAACTAACTTTACATGATCCTTCATAAGTCATACTAATATGTATATTTTGTGTCTCAAAAACATCTCATTATCATCAATGCTGAAAACTGTAATCTGTAAAATGAATTGTCTTTACTGTCATGTTTGATCATGGAATATAATTTTAAAACTGTAATTTATTTGCTAATAATAATAATTTTAAAAAGAAATTATACTGAGCCCCAACCTTTGACCTGTAGAGTAAATGAGATTAAATGTATATTATAACTCACCAAGTGATATGTGACTAATGATTGCAAAAATCTTTTATTTTTAATTTCTAAATATGAAAAAATGTTATTTCAAATCAAAAAGGTGAGCATCTAAACAGAGCTTGATTTGGCACATATGACCAGGTATTCTGGAAGAGCTTGTTGAACGCTGAAGATGACGTATGTTTCTCCCATGTCAGACAAGCTATCATAACGCTCCAAGGGGTCTCCCTTTAAGGATGGGGGCAAAATGAAATCTGGAGAACCAATCGCAGAGTTCCCGGTGAGGACCTGTGCCTGAATAATGTAGACATACTGTTCATGCTCCAGATTCCTCCACAGCTTCAGGGCTCCCTCCACTGAAGTGCTGAAGTAAATTCCATTGCCATGCCTTTGTTCTAGAAATAAAGGATAGGTTCTAGAATACGACTTTTACAAGAAATGCTCTCAAAAACAAACACAAAACCCCAACGATTGTTCTGAGTGTCTTCATATTTCTTACCTGCAGGAGGGGCAAACTCCTTCTGAAAGCCAACTCTGCAGATGAGATCAACATATTGAGCAGACACACACTGGTAGAGGCGCTTTGGTTGGCATTTTATTCTCTGCCTATTCTTGTCAAATAGCTGTTTCAGCACGATGTTCTCTAGCTTCTCCACCTGTAACAACCAGTCCAACCACATGCCTATAGATTATTTTAGTACAGCAACAATGTACTAAACTTCCTCGTTGCCATCTGTGTTATAGTACAATATAATATGTAGTGTTTGGAATGGTAAATTAGTCACCTTTATGATAGAGAGCCTGAAGGCAGTGGAGGCTTTCCTTCCTTCTATTTCCAAAAAATAATTTTTGGTCACAGGATTTCTTGCATAAAATGAATTGTTAAGAGACTGGAAAGGATCCAACAGGCCTGTTTTAAAAAAGAATGTTTTGAGACATAAAATAAACATCAACACAAAAATAAATTAAATAATAACTTCAGTAAAAATAGTACATTTACATCTTAAGGATCATAACCTACATTTCCTTTTCACACTGCTTGTTTTTCCAGTATTGTCAACAATAAGCTCATACTTCAAGCTGACTTTGTGGTTTTTGAACACATGGTTTTCTTCCCCAGCCAAAAAAGCTTTCTCCAAAATCCCACTTATTTCAGGTGTTTGTATCCAAGGCTCTTCTTTACAGCTCCAGCGAACCACGGAATAGAGAATGTCACGTTCTTCAGCTCGAGCAAAATCGTTCTGAGCCTTACAAAGCATGGACTCCACCTCAATCGCTGCACAGCTGACACCTGAGGGACTTCCAGTGATGGTTATGCCACCATTCCCACTCCTGAAGAACTCTTCAATGCGAACATCAAAAACTGCTTGGAGAGTGAGCAGGAACTCATGTTCTTTTTGGCCAAGATATATCACATGGTTGTTATTAATTGTGCTCTTTCCAGAAAGCTGTAGCATATTACAAGCCCACCCTTTTGCTTCTCTCAAAGATTCATTGCACTTTGTAGCACTTTGAAACATAACAGATGGCATTTCATTTGTTGTGGTTTCTTTGGCTGCAGAAGAAAAAAGATTGAGATTAATGTAACTTTAATGTTTTCATGAATATATTTATTACCATCTGGACAAAATTATGACACTTTCAAATCAGTAAAAATAAATATAGACTGCTATACGTCATATATTTACTCACTTGCCACATTGTAATTTTGCCTGTGTTGTACTTCTGGTGACGTTGCCTGTCCTTTCCTCTTTTTCATCTCATTTTCAAAAGCCTAAACATTACAGTGAAACCAAATATTGAATAAAATAGAAAATGAATGTTGGGCACCAAAAAGCCAGTATAATAAGCAAATCACCTTCATCATGTCATTGTCTTTTGGAAAAACAACAAAGTATACATCCAGTTTCTTCCTTTTATTCTGTTTGGCAAATTCTGCCACAGCATCCATCATGATTTTGGCAACCTCCCATTTTTTGAAGTCCAGATTACCAGTGCCAATAGCTGGGAAAGAGATAGACTCATAATCCTCAGCAGCTTTCTTCAGAGATTCCAACACCACATTGAAAAGAATCTACAGACCACAACAAATGAGGACACATCATGAGAATTAATACAGTGGGATATTACTAAATTACTAATAAAAATCAAATCTACCTCTTTGGATTTAGAATCAGATCTATGTGCACAAACAGTATGGAAAACAGATTTGCAATACAGATTATATCCTTTTGTCTTGTAAAGAACTTTTGAACTGTAAAATGAGGTATTGCTTTTCTTTTTGTAAATCTCATTTTGAATCTCGTCGCCAGCTTTCTTCAAAATTGCTCTTGAAATCACCCCCTGGTGCAATTTACAATCTGGTGCAATGGTATTTACAAGTACGTCAACCTGGTGATAGAAGCAAATTGAAAGGAAAACAAATATTAAAAGTGTTAAAGGAATATCAATGTAAAATGTTTTTTCTTCACTCAGTGGTATAATTAAACACTTTTCATGTGTTTCATGTTTTATGTTTAACAATATTTTTGAAAAACTTGTTAGAAACATACATTTAACAAAATTATTAAGATCACATACACTACCGGTCAAAAGTTTGGGGTCATTTTTTTTCATGTTTTTTTAAAGAATGTTTCTGTTCATCAAAGTGGCATTTATTAAATGTTATAAAAAATACATTGTTAAATATTTATTACAATTTTAAATAACTGCTTTCTAATAATGTTAATAATAATAATTAATAATAGAGTGATTTCTGAAGGATCATGTGACTCTGAAGACTGCAGTAAAAAATTACAGGAATAAATGATTGAATTAAATTATAAACTACTTCTGAACTGTTATTTTATAGTGCAATAACATTTCACAATTTTACTATTTGTACTGTATTTTTGATCAAATAAATGCAGCCTTTTTGAGCAGGGCAAGCGTATTTTAAAACATTTAAAAATCCTACTGACCCTAACTTTTGACTGGTGGTGTAAATCTAAAGAAAAGCTAAAGGTCTTTATTGAATAGTTTTTCTATGGGTGCTTGAAATTGTTCAATCTTACCATTTCATCTTCAATAGCCCCTCTTTTAAGGTACAGGATTATGTTCTCAAACTGCAAGCTTTGGCTTGTAGAGGAGGTCATGCTCTGGCTGCTGTCTTTCACAGCCCCACTGTACAATCTAGAGGTGCTTGGTGGATCAAAAATTGCCCTAGTGGCTCTCTCCATTTCTTGAACTGAGGGTTCATCGTTATTGACGAGATGGATTTCTAAATTCCTGCCCTGGAACCCTCCATGATCATGGAATGTCTTTATAGCCTTCACAATAATGTCTGCACAGCGATCTCTTGGAAAATTGAAAAGTCCAGAACTCAGAGCAGGAATTGCAACAGAAGTTATGTTTTCACGAAGAACGGTTTGTAGGATACTAGTAATAGCATTATATAACAACGGTGTAGCATCTCCAATCTCTTTCTGGGTTGGATTTTGAGGCACTTTGGGACCCACAGCATGTATGATATATTTAAATGGGAGATTTCCAGCAGGAGTAAGAACAGCCTCACCAGTTTTCACGTATCCATATCGTTTTATAATATCATCACTCCATCGCTGGATCTGTGGTCCTCCAGCCATACTCAGGGCTTGTGCAAGACCTCCTCCATGCTGTAGTTTCTCATTGGCTGCATTGACCACAGCTTCGACCTTATGCTGTGTAAGATCATCTTTCCAGACTGATATCTCCACTCCACTGGACAGCCTTGTGAAATATCTTTTCTCAGCACAAAAAACACCACTTGTGTTACTTAAGGCTTCAGACTCTTTTATATTGTGGAGAATAGCCATGCAATTAAATTTTTCAATAACTGCATGGCAAAAGGCATTTCTACACTTTGCCAGAATGGCAGCCTGCTCTGCAGCCAGAGGTAGCAGACCCTGTTCTTTGTCACTCATGGTTTGTAGCTTCCTCAGGTCACAGATGTATTTGGCCTGGGAGAAAATAATGTTAAGAACTTTTTAAAAAAATGACCACAGATTAATAATTAGTCAAATTTATCTTTTGGAATTTGCACATGCTCTATAATGGCACAGAAGCTGTCATTGGGAAAGTACCAATAGGTACACATTTGTATCCAAAAGGTACACACTTATGTATTATTATATAACTATACAAATGTGGACCTTTTGAAAAGATAGTGCCTCAGTGACAGCTTTTTTACCGTTATGTCTGAGAGTCCATTTTTATTGCATGCTAACAGGATCAAATACTTTATTTTTTTTAAAAGGTTCACCCTTCAAAAGGGTGCATCTTAATGCCTACAAAGTACATATTGGTAATCTGAAAAAGCACCACCTCAGTGAAATATATTTGATAACTGAAAAAGAATTTTAAATTGAGAATGAGATCATGAGAAAATAAAAGTTGTGATCGTGAGTAAATGAGTTATGTCAAGATTAAGAGATGATCACAAGAAAACGAGAGAAAACTGAATGTATGCTCATTGTTTTAATATAAGTGAATTTACTGTGCTGTATGTCTATGCGTGGGTCAGTTTTTTGTGATTTCATACAATTCAGATGTGAAAGCTTTTGTTTAGCAGTGCTGGACAGACTATGGAAAGGATCCACTTAAAATTCAATAAATTCATATCAGATAATTGGTTGGCTTGTTTTGTTTGTTTGTTTCACACATTACACATCACAACTAATCAAACTGAACATTTAAAGGATAATTTCTTCAACAAACTGAGTGAGGATGCTTGTTGCATGATTTTGCACCAAATGGGAACTAACTGGCATTCACTGTTATTAGTTGAAATGTGTTAAATGATTGTTTAGTGTTTTGTTTTTATTAATGTTTTGATTTACCTTAATAATTTGTTCAACTGTAAATTGCTAAAATACTATCAAACTTTGTTAGAAATCTGTACAAATGAAGCATTGGTTATTTTAAAATAGGGTTTAAAGATAAATTATATATTATACAAATAGAGAATAATACAAATCTAACAACAGTGATCTGAATCAAAATTATAATGGTTTTGATTAGGGTACTTTAAACAATTTTAACTTTTAGTGCATTTGATACATTATTGAAACATTAAGGCATCTTAACACATTTTAAAATGTGATGTTTTAGAAAGAGAGTCATTATATTTATACTCTTTATTGTTTTCATTCAATTTATTGTTGTTGTTAATTTGTATTTTAAGTCTGCTGTAATGAGTAATTATTTATTTATTTATTTATCTCCCAAAATATCAGACTGTGCCTCCTGCAAACCTATATTTTCTGATGGCCCTGTGAATTTGGTTTCCTGTGGTTTAAAGTTTCCAGGGAAATAACACTAATTGATTAATAACACAAATTAATTCATACTAAATAGTAACATTGTATCACACACGAATTATAAAATATTACGAGATGATCTATAGTTTATAAAATTGACAGTTCAAAAATATCACAAGAATTTCAGGAGTTTTTAAAAACAAAGCATTTTGTTGAAATTCATTTTAATAATCTAACTGTGGCTTTTATGCCTTTTTGAATGTGTTCTTGATAGCTCATTGTATTTCATGGTTTTCAAGGTTCTTGTCTTTGTTTTGTTGGAATCCTAAAATTTAATTTGTTAATATAAACTAACATTCAATAATGATAAAGAGTGCAGCATTCATTATTCTTAATGTTCTTATTTCTACATTTATAAATACATACATACATACATACATACATACATACATACATACATACATACATACATACATACATACATACATACATACATACATACATTCAAAGGTTGCATCAGTTAACATCAGATCGTGTACTGTGTACAAATGTATTTTTATCAACTAACATGTTGTAAAGACTGTTAAGTCTTGTAAGTTTGCACAGCACAATACCGGGAAGATCAGGTTCTTCCAAATGGAACAGGTTGTGTAACCTTTGCTGAAATTCACTGCCTTCTGTTGAAATCAGATGATCCAATATTCAGCATGACTTACAAACTATACCAAAATAACCTAATTTATCTTTATATCGATATCTTTCTATCACAAGATTTAAACAATCAAATAAATAACTTTGCTAAAAAGACATTTTAAACCAGCCCATATGCTGGTTGGCTGCTTTTAGCTGGTAAAGCAGGCTTATTTTAGACAGTTTTAGGTCTCTTCCAGGCTGGTATTAACTGGCCAATCCAGCTTTCCAGCCCTACCACCTAAAACCAGACTGGAAGTGGGCAAACCCTTCTAAAACCAGGATCATCAACCAGCTACAATAAGCTTAGGCTGTTTTTTTCAGCAGACAAATTCAGTGTTATATTTCTTTATTCGATTTGTATGAAAAAACTTTAAGTTAAACTAATTTAAACTAAATTAAATAGTGACTTTTTTTAAGTCACCATATGTACACGTAGCCATTTACTGAAATGTCAGAGTTTTGGTGCGAGATTTTCTTTTCGAGTGAACTGTCCCTTTACACATTCCCGTCTAAACAACATAGCAATTTCACATACCGCAAATCACAAAAATAATAAATAACACACTGATCAAAATATTGTACAGTTTTCTGTTAGGAAAGCTTTATGTCGTGTTTTACAAAGGGTATGCATGCTGTAAGGTAGTATACACTGTAGTACGACACGGCAGTAAATTGGATAAGTTCTCTGCTAGCTAAGGAGAAGACAGTCCTACTTTGTTTTTAAATTTTCAAACAGCTCTTACCTGTGCTTTGACACTTCTTTAAGAAAGACGCCTCGATGACTGTCAAAAATGAAGTAAAATGTTAGTTAAATAGAGATCGAAAGCGAAAGAGTCGTGCTACTTAAACACATTAAATGCAAACAGAAGTCGACTCTAACGTTACCTTCAAATGTTAACTTGACTACTACAACATTTATTGCAGTACTTTGTTATTTTTCTTTCTTTCTCTTGTCTTTCTTCTAATTAATATTAATTTGTCAAATTGATGATGAAAGGAAACTTACGTTACCAAGTGGGTTTCTGCTTGAAGCTTTGTGTGCGGAAAACCCCGCCTGTTGTTAGCTGCATGACCAAGAGAAACAAAAGTGAAAGTTTTGTGCCCTTAAAGTGAATTCGACAAACACTGCAGTCACAGGACAGGCAGACATGGATAATGCTGAGTTCCCGTACGCTCTCTGCGTGGAGGGCCAGTGGGACCCCCGTACTCCTAAACTAAAAAACAAGTTTATAATCTATTTCCAGAGTAAGAAATCCGACGGGGGCGATTGTGTGGTTGAATACAGCGTTTCTGATGGGCAAACAGCGACTGTTCGGTTCAAAACAGAGCAAGGTAAAGTTGCCTACCTGTATGAATATCTTAGTAAATACCATATCATCTAGAATGCGTAAAATAATGAGTTAGACGTTTCATTTTTTTATAGTTTAAGACCGAAACGTGTTGCAAGTTACAGTGGGAGGAGTCAGGAAACGAAACTAAACACATTTTCATTGCCTAAAGAATGTATAAATAAAAATTGGATTTGTCCACTCATGTGTGTTCTCATGTTTACATTAGTGAGACGGCGAGTTGTTAATAAACAAACGCATGAACTCAAGATTGGTCAGAAAACTGTGAAAATCACTGTGAGTCTTCCGTCATCAGAGGCCTCAGATCCCCAGGTAAAAACACTAATATATATCCCAACTGAGTAACGCAAAGTTATACTGCTAATACACTGACTTGGACTAAATAGTAAACTGTGTTTTTTAGGAAGCAACGTCTTCAGTCAGCACAATCACGGCGGGTAAGTTCTCTCCAACTTTGAAAAAAAGTGGTTCTGCTGCCCTCTGCTGGTCATTACCAACAGGACACTTTTTCTTCTTTACAGGATATATCGGTTTTATTATTTAGACCTTGGTGAAAAACTGGTGCATGTTGTACTTCAAATTAAACAAGAAAACCTTTTGATCAAGATACCAGTTTTGTCGTTTTGATAAATTAAATTTTCAATTTAATTTAATAAGAGAAAGGTAGATGGCAACACTATCTTATACGGTTTGCGTTTTACATTTTAACAAAATCGGCATTGCATAGCTGCCTACTGAATAACTGAATGACATTTTATTAAAGACAGTGACAAATTAAATAAATGCATGGGCTAGAGGTTTTCTATTCCACTCCTGCTAAAAAATCACTGTGTTCTCAAAACATTTTTTCTTCACAAGCTGCTTAATTTTAAGATTGGTTTTAGAGTCTAACAATGAATTTTCTCTTGTATGAAATAAGTAAGAAGTATAGCAAATATAAATGCATTCTATACGAAAAAAATATAAATATATTTATTATCAAGATACAAATTCTAATGACAAATTTTGACTGTCAACAGAAAAAGTTTTATCTGTCACTCCATTGTTAAATTAAAAACAAATTTGTGTCTTTTCCACAACATTTTTCTTATTTTTACATTTATGCATATGCATGCAGAAGCACAAAATCATATGAAGCTGTTTAGTATTTCCCTGCATTAAAGTGCATGCTAAGTGTGATGAACTCTGACCTGCTGTGAATTCATATCACATTAAAATCATCAATAAAAGACCTCTTAGCTGAATTATGTGTATACAGAAGTCAGCATTTAAGTAAAATGCTATAAATTTAATATTTGACATTTGATTATGTTAAAGTAAATAAATAAAAAAAATAAAATTATTTAATAGCCAAAAACATTTGGCTGAACATGTTCTGGTAGTTGCTGCTAAGAGGAAAAATGCACAAAACAGAAAATGGCCCTTAATCCCTATAGTCTTCTCTCAACCATACTACCCCATTAAGATGGATTAATATTGTCAACCCTTTTCCCACTATCCATAATTTAGTATAATGTTCAACTCTAGTTTACATTTTGAATCAATTAGCTAATCTTTTTTCTTTCACCTACAAACCTTTTTAAATTTCAAAGACGCCCCCACCCCCAGTTTTTTAGGTCCACTGAAGTACCCACAGAAATGTATAATTCCTTAAGCACTTTTATGGCAGTGTGGTCTCATACTGCTATGCAGTTACCAAGATTTTATAGAACTTTATTGTGGTAATTTCATCACATCCAGCACAAACAGGATACCTAGCGTAAAGAGATAGTTCACCCAAAAATCGAAATTCTGTCATTATTCACTCATACTTTACTCCTTTCTAATATTTACTTTTTTTCTAATCTCATTTCTTTATTCTGTATAACACAAAAGAAGACATTGTGAAGAAAGCTGAAAACATGTAACCATTGACTTTCATAGTAAAATACTAATACTATCGAGGGCAGTGCTTGAGGTTTTCAGAAGACTTCAAAATATCTTTTGTGTTTGACTTAATAAAGAAACTCATAAAGGTTTAGAAACACTTGAGGGAGACCAAATACTTGTTAGTAATTTAATAAAATCCCTTTAATAATATTATTTTTTTAATTAAATTTTATCTTGAAATATAAATAAAATGATTTGAGAGCTTACTGCTATGATTTTTCTGCTGTAACGCCATGCTGAATGCTGACAATATTACTGATAATATTGAGTGTTTTACGTCATGACGGTCCTATGTACAGTTGTCATGGTGTCAGACTTTTCAAATGTATGATATTTTATATTCAGGTGAACCACTGAGGGAAGAAGAGAAGACGACTGAGTCATCTGAGGAAAATGAAGAAGACACAACTATAAGATCAGCTGTAATTGAAAACATTCAAAACAGTAATCAAGAGTTTCTGACAATTCTGGTTGAAAATGTGCTGAGAGGATCTTCAACTGAATCCAATGACTTCAGCATTGAAATAATACCAGAAAGCAACTGTGCTGTGGTGACATTTTCCAATAGAAAGGGTAAGTCATGTGTAATGTTCTCCAGTTCTCCATATACAAAATACTACTTTGGAAAACTTTACCAACACTTTTTGTGTTGATCACCTTGCCTTTTTTCTGTTACTTTATTTTTTTTGTATATTTAATTTTATAGATACAGAGACTTTTATCATATCCTGTCAAAGCAATGCAATGATTAAGAAGAAAAACATGAAAGTGGGATTGCTTGAGAAGACTTGTAAAGTGAAAGCTGAAGGCCTACCTCCGAACACAAACTCTGACTACCTCATGCTCTACTTTGAGAAATTTGGAGAAATAGAGGACGATGGGGTAACAGTTGATACGGACGAGTCAGCAATAATTACTTTTGCAAATCCTGAAGGTAAATAAAAGTGCTACATTTGATTTATTTGTTTCATTTGAATTGCTGTATATGTATAAACTATGCAATATGTGCTTACAGATGTGCAAAAAGTCATCAAACTTTCACATCAGATTAAGAAACATCCGTTTAAAGTACTGCCATACAATGAAAAGCTACAAACAGCTCTATATGGCAAAGACAGACCCACCCTAAAACTACCAGAGGCATTTACGGAGAAGATGGACAGAAATGTATGGCACCACTTAAAGGAAAACCAAATATCTCTAGATTTAGTCAAGCAAGCAATGTCCTGTCATTTTTGTGTGATGGATTTTCAGTCGTCAGAAGTAAAGATCAGTCCTTTGCCATCTCTACTTCACCAAGGTGAGCAGACAAGAAAACTTATTCAGACATGGAGAGAAAATGCCCTCTCTGGGTTCACCATGTCAATGTCTAAGTTCAAATCCGTTGAGCTCCACATTCAGAAAGATGCATGGACAGATGTACAGCCTGAAATTTACGAAACAGTGGCAGAAGAGGCAGTCACACTAGTTCCCTATGCGGATGAAGGGACAATAGCTGTAGCCGGACTGAAAGAACAGGTGAACGACATTGAGAGAACTCTGAAAGAAACTGTCCAGAGAATCACCCAAAAAATCCAAAGAGAGAAGGGCAGCGAGTCAGATGAAATCAGCATGACTCCATCTATTTACAATCTTGTTCTCTGTGATGGACTGAAGCAAGAAACTAATGACAAATTTCCTGAAATGGACATAACATATCTTGTGCACAGCCAAAAGTTAACTCTTTATGGTCTAAAAGATGAGGTCCTGGAAACAAAAAACAAGATACTGGAGGCCGTTCTTCATTTGATTCGTAAACCAACTGAACTCAATCAGTCTGTTTTAGATTTTCTGCTGAAGAAGGATCTCGAGGAGATGACCAAAGATTTGTTTTTTAACAAAGGAGTCAATGTTGCTTTAGAAGCTGATGGACAGAGAGTTTTGCTCGTTGGGAAAACAGACAAGGACTTGAGTGTTGGAGAGAAGCAGCTGCAGACAGACCTGGGTCATCTGAGCTTCAATGTAGATGATCCTAGTGTTTTCAGAAGATCAGACTGGCAAGACCTTGTCTCTAACATAAAAAACAATTTCAGAACTGTTGCTGTACAGACATGTGCTAACAAAGTTGTGGTTTCTGGCTTTGTAGACTCCATTAATGACGTTGAACAACAGTTATATGATTTTGTTCAGGAAAACTCTCACATGGAGAAAACTCTGAATGCTCATAAGACTGTTATCACATTCATAAAAGATCACAGAAAGCAAGACTGGTTTGAAGAGGTGAAAGGTAAAGTGAGTGTGGATTTCAAAAATGACAGCATCGTGATCAGTGGCCCAAAGCTTCATGTCTGTGACTGTGTGCCTTTGTTTGACAACTTGTGCACATCTGCCCATCACTGCACTATGAAAATAGTTAAACCAGGAGCAAAGAATTTTTTCAAAGAGAAAGAGCCTATGTGTGTTTCATATGCCAAGACAAATATGAATTGTTTGGTCCAGTTAATAAACGAGTCTGACCACCCACATGACACAGTTGAACCACGAAAAGTCAAATCTGTCTATCAATTTAAAACACGTGAGGGAATGGAGATTACTGTACACAAAGCTGACATGTGTTCATTTCAAGTGGATGCAGTGGTTGGTGCGTGTAAAGAAACCCTCCTACTGGATGGAGGATTAGCAAAGGCACTCTCTGATGCTGCTGGTCCTAAACTTCAGAAAGACTGTGACAAGCTTGTTAAAGGACGGAAATTCACAACAGGAGATGCAGTTCTCCTCGATGCAGGAGGGCGTCTGCATTGCAAACATGTCATTTTAGCAATAGGGCCACATTATAATTCTTCCAAACCTCAAGAATCTGAAAAGCTCTTGAAAAAAGCTGTCAAGAGGAGTCTGAATGTGGCAGATCAAGAAAGCTTCCAGTCCATAGCAATTCCGGCCATCAGTTCTGGTGTGTTTGGTTTCCCAATGGACCTTTGTGCATTCACCATTGTAAAAGCCATAAAGGAGTTCTGTGATTTTGTCGAAGGAGACATTGCATTGACGAAGATTCACTTAGTTGACAATAATGATAAGACAGTTCAAGCCTTAGAAGCTGCAGTGAAAAAAGTTTATGGTGTCAGTGACCAGAGCACAACTGGAAGCAGTTCAAGCAGCCAACAGCAAAACAAAGCAAGTGCTTCTCCAAGCCAACATCAGTTAACCACATTCTTTCAAGGAGCATCACAAACAGAAAGTTTTCAGACAAAAGAAGGTTTAACCATCACCCTAATGAAAGGAAATATTGAGGATACAACAGTGAGTTCAGTGTTTACAGATTATGCATTTAATGTCTTACATTTGTGTATTTAAAGTATGAAAATGTCAGTGCACTCTAAACTGACAATTCTATTCATTTCTGCACCCTCATGTTGAAAACTCATAAAAAAATTTAATCTTTGGAGCACAAATAAAGAAATTTTTAATTAAATCTTTGAGATTCGTGACTGTCCATTGACGGTCTATTAATACAAAATAAATATCTAAAAGTCTTTAAAAGTGACAGATCTTTTTAAATGAGGAAAAGATTTAATTTAAGCGTTTAATCACATCTAAACATTAATCAGCAGACAATAATTGCAGCATTTAAATTTGGTCACAGAAGCTTAAATATTTAACAAGTGACAACCAAATAAGTAGTTTTAAAGGGTCAGGGTTTAGTTCAATTTGAAATGTCAGAAATGTCCCAGATTTCAATATTTCTTTCAGTGTGTTTCAATAATGAACAAAATATTTATGGACTTGGAAAAATATGATAAAAAAATTAAGGATTATAAAATTGTCATTTTAGGATGAACTAAATTCTTATGTAAAAACATGATTTCAGTGCCAACCTGTTGAAATCTGCTTTTTTGTACAGATGGATGTTGTTGTGAACACTCTCAGCAGTGATCTAAAACTTAATGTTGGAGCTGTTTCAAATGCCCTTTTTAAAGCAGCTGGTCCACAGCTTCAGGATCTGCTCGATCAGCAAGCCACAGGCCCTGCAAGCAGTGGTGCAGTCTTTGAAACAGCAGGAGCAAACCTGAAGAATAAACTGGTGTTCCATGCTGTTGTACCACACTGGAATCAGGGACAAGGAAATGAGCAAAAGGTGATATTTGAGTGATTTTAAGTGAGTATTACATTAAAACGTGATGCTTTAAAAGTGTTTTTATTCTCTTTGAGCAGGTGCTGGAGAATGTGATGGATACATGTTTGTGTAAGGCAGAGCAGCGTCAGCAGAGCTCCATTGTATTCTCTGCTATTGGCACTGGAAACCTGGGATTTCCAAAGTCACTGGTAGTCAGTACAATGCTGGACTCAGTCTTCAAGTTTAGCACTAAAAGAAGTTCTAAACACATACAGGAAGTGGCATTTGTTCTTCACCCCAAAGATACACAAACCATCCAGGTACAAGATGTATAATGTCTGTCTTATTCTGTAGATCTATGTGGAATCAAAATTCTGTAGATGTTTAACACTTACACTAATAATGAATTATTGGCAACTCTATGGTGTCCACAACAGGTGTTCACAGATGAGTTCAGCAAAAGGTTTTTGGGCCAGTCTGCCTCTGCAAGTAACTCCACACAACCCCAAAGTACAGGTGCCCATAACTTTAATCTTATATTGATTCTTACCATTTTATTCTGACTGCCACATTTGCTGTAGCTTCTTCTCACATGAAATACAATGTTTACATATCTATTTAAGCTAAATCCTTATTTGATGCCTTTTGTACCATAATTTGTTTTTTTATGATTATTATTATTATTATTATTATTTCTCAATGAACTCACAGGCCCCTTCTCAAAAGTCACAACAAAATCTGGCATTCATGAGACTACAGTGGGAGGAGTAACACTTCAGGTCCTGAATGGTGATATCACTACTGAACAAACAGATGTTATTGTGAACTCCACTACTAAGGAATTCACACTGAAAGCAGGTAAAGTGTCTTATGCTGAATCAGTGGAATACTGGTATTACATGTACTCGTGACATCTAAAGCGCAAGTTAGGGATGATTGAGCTGAGAGTTATGTTAAAAATAATGTTTTATCTCAAACTGTCAAGGTGTCTCGAAGGCTATTTTGGATAAGGCTGGTCCAAATGTTGAAGCAGAGTGCCAGCAACTTGGTGAGAATCACATTTTAACAATTAATAATACTTAAATAATACTGAAATAGTTATTAATCTGCCAAACGGGCACTGAAGCATTAAGAGTTTTAGCAAATTTAGGTGGAGTCTTCTAATTGTGTTTTTCAGGAGCCAAGACTGACAGTGGACTGATAATGACTCAAGCAGGAAATTTACAGTGTAAAAAAATCATCCACATTGCAGCACAGAGTAATGCTATTATGATCCAAAAACACGTTAGAAAGGCTCTGGAAATGTGTGCTAAGGAAAAGTTAACCTCCATTGCATTTCCAGCTATTGGTACAGGTAAGAACAAGCTCAACAGCAAACAGTGTTTTTTTATGTACAGTGGAGATCAAAATAAAAAGAGCAATCTATACGTTTCCTAAATTTTGGTATAACTGAAACAAAAGCAGTAAAAGAGCAGGCTTTAAGAATATTTTATCATAATCTGAAAGCGTATAAAAAAAACTCAAGATATTAAAAAAGAACACTGATCAAAATTAAAGAAATACTTTAAGAATCCTCAAAGCTCTTGGAGGTACATTAAAACCTGGTGGTAATTTCTTTAATAATCTGTCGATTTAACTGGCAGCCTAATTTTACAGTTTTCACTGACTTTGCAAGATTGAAACCCGAGATGACCCTTTCAGCCATAGAAAGAAAAGATGGTCATTCCATATCTGTGATTATTAAAACATTGCAACTTTGCTATGTCACTAACTCATTTAAGTCTCCCAAGAGAATTGTATTATTGCATGTTTTCCAACTGTTTTGACTTTGGTAGAAAATTTTTAGTTGACTTGAACATGTTAGTAACACTTTAACTAACATTAACTAATAAAAACTTATTGTAAAGTAATACCTAGTTGATGTTCTCAAAATATTTGGTGACGTTATGGCTAAGAAACCCAAAACAGTCAGTGAACTGTGAGAGACTGAAGGGAAGCTGATCAACATCACAGCAGAACAGCTTAAGAGACTACGGATACCACAGATGTCCTTAAATTGTTCAAAACAAGAGCTAGTCAATTCTTTTGATTACTGTAACTTTCAGAACTTTTAGTTCTTTATGCTATAATCATTGCTTTTCTAGCATTGCACAGCCACTACTATAGTTCCTACCAGTTTTGATTTATCAAAATTATGTCATTGCAAAAAGTAAAACGTGGATTTTTTTTTTTTTTTTTTGTAGTCTTATTTTGATCTTCATTGTTTAGTAATACTATTTTTACTATTTCTATACTTTGGATTAGCATTATTTTTAAAGGCTCTTTATAGTTATTCTTATGCTGTCAGTTTAAACTTTTACTTTTATAATGAACATGGAGTATAGTGACAAAATGTATTTTTTTTAGGACAAGCAGGTTTGTCTCCAGGTCAAGTAGCAGACTCCATGCTGGATGGTATGCTGGAGATGCTAAGAAAGACTCCCCAGTCCAGTCTCAAGTTGATCAGGTTAGTTGTGTTTCAGGCACACATGCTCCCTGAGTTCCTCAAAAGTATGCAGAATCGAGAAACTGGACCTGCCAAACAAGAGAAAGAGAGCACATGGTCAAAAATCAAAGGTAATCAACGTCTCATCACTTCACATCAACTTAAAGTCATAGAACAGAATAAAGTCTGCTTCATTATTAGAACCCCAATACTGAAAAAGTTGGGACATAAATGCAACAAAATATCTGAATTGCTGACTCTCATTAACCTTTATTTAAAGATTCATCATGTTTTCATGGAGCAAATAAATAGTATTTTGTAAATGTAAACTAATATTGATTTCAATGGCTGCCACACACTTCAAAATAGTTGGGACATATGCATGTTTAGCAAAGTGTCACTGTGACCAGCTTGTTAAAGGATAGAAAATCACAACAGAAGATGCAGTTCTCCTCGATGCAGGAGGGCATCTGCAATGCAAACATGCCATTTAATCATCTGGAAACTCAGAGTACTAAATGTTATTCAAAGATTTTGCACAATCTGACATAATACAAAAATTTGAATGCTAAGCAATCAGTGGTCTTACATTTTCAATAGCATACAGAGCTGGAAGAAAATAAGGCCATTCAAGCACATTCACTGTTTCCTAAACCATGCTGCTGTAGTACAGTTAGAATGTGTTCTTGATCTTATAGCCAGAGGCCTTCACTGAAAGATGGCATTGTGATGGCAGTAAATGTCTATGTATTCTCCATATGCATCTATGTCAATGGTACCTTTGCACACATATGCCAGTGTCCCATTTTGATTTGGTCTGCTGCATCCAAGAACCAAGAAAGATGTTTGCTTCTGTCTGTAAACAAAGTCTGGTTGGTCTTTTTGGACTCTGAGTTTGTTTTTCCCAGAGACAAGTTGAAATGTGGACTCCTCTAAGCCCAGCACACATTTTCATTGTCTTTTGACATTCAAAGATAAGCTGTGGTCTGGAAAAACAGCAGCATAACTACACAAAACTGATGTATAGCTTTCTCCATGAAGAACAAATATTCTACTGGCATTTCTTGATGCAGCAGCTTAAAAAGTTTAGTGACGGTGGTTTTCTAAAATTGTCCTGTGCTCATGTGGCTTTACCTAACAGGACATGACAGTTTTTCATCCAATGTCACCTGAAGTTTCTTGCCTTGCTCTACGCAGGTTGGGATTTCTCTGGATTCCCTCGATGATTGTACAATTTTATAGATGTTATTTGATGTAAGACCTAAATAGGTTGAAATTTTGCATTGAGAAATGCATTTTTATTTTGTTGACAACTTTGGCCATCCTAACTTGTGGTACAAAATGACAAGCAATGGTCTAGCTTTAAGAAAAAAGACAAAGATGCTCATTTAAAGATGCTCTATAACCTGGGCAGCGCAGTGGTGCAGTAGGATGTGCTGTTACCTCACAGCAAGAAGGCCACTGGTTCGAGCCTTGGCTGGGTCAGTTGGAATTTCTGTGTAGAGTTTGCATGTTCTCCCTGCGTTTGCGTGGGTTTACTCCAGGTGCTCTAGTTTCCCCCACAGTCCAAAGACATGTGGTACAGGTGAATTGGGTAAGCTAAATTGTCTGTAGTGTATGAGTGTGTGTGGATGTTTCCCAGAGATGGGTTGCGGCTGGAAGAGCATCCACTCTGTAAAAAAACGTGCTGGATAGGTTGGCCGTTTATTCCGCTGTGGCAACCCGGGTCGATAAAGGGACTAAGCCGAAAAGAAAACGAATAAATTCTATAACTTTTTCACTTTTTTTGCTTTTTATTAATTAATTTATTTATTCATTCATTTTATTTTAGCTTAGCCCCTTTATGCATTAGGGATCGCCACAGAGGAATGAAACGCCAACTTATCTCGCATATGTTCACAGTGGGTGCCCTTCCAGCTGCAATCCAGTACTGGGAAACAACCATCCACACTCATTCACACACATACACTATGGTCAATTTAGTTAATCTAAATCATCTATACTGCATGTCTTTGGACAGTGGGGGAAACTGGTGCACCCGGAGGAAGCCCACGCCAACACTGGGAGAACATGCAAACTCCACTAGGAAACACCAACTGACCCAGCCGGGACTCGAACCAGCAACCTTTTTGCTGTGAGGCAACAGTGCTAACCACTGAGCCTGTTGCCAATATTTTGCCTTTGTCTAGCCTTTTTGTAGTGTGTTGCAGCCATCAAAATTATAAATTGTTTACATTTACAAAATACATAAAATTTTGTCTGTGCAAACACTAAAACACTAGAAATGTTGTCTTTGTTAATTAAATAAAAGTTGGAGAATTAACCATAAAAAAATTGTAGATTTCATTGCATTTTACAAAATTTCACCTCTTTGGCAATTGGGTTTGTTAGATGCATGTTTTTTGCTCAACATGAACAGCAAAGTTATCAAATTACAGTTGTCTAAAGAGTTTAATTTTGTGTAACTTGCAGCATTTGCAGCCACTGCTAAATCATACCTCACTGGATCTTGGGAGAAAGAAATAAAACAACATGGTGGCAAAGACTTTGTCATTGATGGTGTGGAAGTTGATCCAGTCTTTTTTTCAATCTGTGGACCATCAAAAGCAGAAGTGGATCAAGCTAAGATTTTCTTAGAGGACATGATCACTAAAGAACAAGTGTTCCAGTCTATCACAGACACAGCCATACTTTCCTTATCAGATAAAGATCAACAGCGAATCCTGGACCTGCAAAGCACCATAGATGTGACTATACGGCTAGAATACAAAGCCAATAAAGCTACAGATGAGTCTCCAGGAAAGGCCACACTCATAGTACAAGGTCTTAGTCGAGATGTGCTAAAGGCCACTCACGAAATCAATGAAATGCTTAAGTCAGCCAAAGAAAACGAGATCCTAAAAAAGGAAATGAATTTGATGAGTGAACTTGTGGATTGGCAGTTTGAACAGGGTGGGCAATATAAGAGTTTTGATGAACGTACAAATTTAGAATTGGAAAAGGCCCTTTCCAGACAAGCTGCAGACACCAGTATCACCTTCCAAGGCCAAACTTACCAGGTCAAACTGCCTGAAGGTCCTGCAGTGAACAATGCTGGTGGAAACCAGATGAACATCAGACGCATTGACAAACTGAAAGGTAAGATTATTACATTTGTCAATCAGATATGGTTTTATTGCACTACAAATAATAATATATTTAACCATGTGTGTAATGGTGTATTGTTTTTACTTTTAGCAACTGAAAGTATTCCACAGCATTGGGATGCAATGGGGTCTAATGAATTAAACAAAAAGTTCAATTTGCAACCAACTAGCACAGAATACCAAGATGTGTTGGGGCGCTTCAAGGCAACTTGTAGAAACAACGTCTTGAAGGTGTGTGCCAGATTAACTCCACTGAGGTTTCTGAAAGCGTTATCTTATTTTGATCAATGCTCTTTTTTTAAGTATTTCATTTTTTAGACTGATTCAGAACATGAAATAATAATAATTTAAATAATCTTAAAAACTTGTCTTTTACTACTGTTAGAGTAACTTCTTTTTTGTCCCTACTATTAAGTTTGTCATACACATTTGTTTCATAAACCAAGTATTTATAGCACATGCACACACACACACACACACACACACACACACACACACACACACACAGGTATAAAAGTAAATAGGAATAATTTTAAGGTAAAACAAGGTGTTTAAAACACACAATTTTCCCCAGTTTTAGTTTAGCCAATATATGCTGAAATGGCATTGAAAGGGGAAAAAAAAATAATAAAATTTAAAAAATAATAATATATATAAATGATTGTTAGTACAGACATGGATACCCTGATAACCTCATGATTTTTGAGAGGAATCCTGGAGTTGGAGTAATTAATAATGTGAAGCAGTTGGAATTTTAGCAGAATAACACAACATTCTGTCAGTCTGATATTTTTCTTCTCATCACATGGTATATGGAACATTGCTAGTAATTGCACCTCCTAAATTATTTTTAGCACACAATTCATGGAACTTTGTAGGATTTCAACTCCTTGTTATGGATAAGATTTTTCAGATGTGTGGGTTAATTAAGGACGTCAAACTGGAGGGGCGCAACCCTGCAGAGTTTACTTCCAACACATTTACCTCACTCACTCACTCACTGTCCTTCCACTTATTCCCTTCTTTATGTCAGGTTTCACCAATACACTTAGCTGTACATTTCATGCAAGCCAGAATGACTAGGTTCGCTGGATAAGGTGTTTAATTAGGGTTATATCTAATTATAATCAGAAATAAACAGCTGGTGCAATAAACTGTTTTATTCAGTATAAAACACAGTTTTATACTAAAGCTCTATTCATTATGTGATTCTGAATTTTTTTTACTATAGATTGAACGAGTCCAGAATCCTGGGATGTGGAAGAACTACCTGAATAACAAAAGTGTCATGGAAAAAAAGAATGGTCATCAAAACAATGAGAAAAGACTCTTTCATGGAACCAGTGAGCAGACTATCAGTCACATTGAAAAAAGTGGCTTTAATCGGAGCTATGCAGGAAAAAATGGTAAAGCATTGGCTACATTCTGTAAATTATTTAAACTGAATCAATGTATGTTTTTTTTTTTAACCCTTGATGCTTTTTTACAGCTGCAGCCTATGGAAATGGCACCTATTTTGCACTTAATGCCAGCTATTCGGCCAGTAACACATACTCAGTGCCAAATGCTCAGGGACATAAGCACATGTACCTCTGCAGAGTCCTAGCAGGAGACTACACTAAAGGACAAGGGGGGATGATTGTGCCACCAGCAAAAAATGCCAACTGTGACCTGTACGACACGGTTGTGGATAACCCTGCTGCTCCCACTATTTTTGTAGTATTCCGAGATGATAATGCTTATCCGGAATATTTAATCACCTTTACTTAAACTCACTGAAGAGAAGTCATTTCAGACATCACATCAGATATACAATCAGGAAGATTTTGCAAAAAGAAAAAAAAGTTATAATAATAATAGAGTTCTTTATTGACTTAAAATTTGAAAGGGCTTTACTTCTGACAAATTTATTGTGCCTTATAATAAATTTATTTTGTTATTTCTGCTGTAAAACGTTCAGCTGTTTACACATTTTTGTCTCTTTAATTCCAATGATTTCACTGTATTTTTATTAAATTTGCATAAATAATACACTGAGAAGCCAGATTGAAGCAAACTGCATGATAAATAAAGAAATTCAAAACTTATAATTGTATCATTGCTATTTCTTGCCCTGATATACAAAAAGAAAAAAGAAAAAAAAATATATATATATACACACACACACACACACATGCAGATAAAGTCAGAATTGTTAGCCCCGCTGCATTATTACACCAGTTTATTTATTTTTTTCCTCACTTTTATTTTATCTTTGCCATGATGACTAAATAATATTTGACTAGATATTTTTCAAGATTTAGTCATTTAGCAGACGCTTTTATCCAAAGCGACTTACAAATGAGGACAAGGAAGCAATTTACACAACCAAGAGCAACAATGAATAAGTGCTATAGGCAAGTTTCAGGTTTGTAAAGTCTAAGAAGGGAAGTATTAGTAGTATTTTTTTTTTTTTGTTTTTTGTTTTTTGGTACAGTTAGTGTGATATTCTGAGAGGCAATTGCAGATTAGGAAGTGTAGTGGAGACTAAATAGTTGGGTTTTTAGTCGTTTCTTGAAAGTAGCGAGTGACTCTGCTGTTCTGATGCAGTTAGGGAGTTCATTCCACCAACTGGGCAGATTAAGCGTGAGCGTTCGCGAAAGTGATTTCTTCCCTCTTTGGGATGGAACCACGAGGCGACGTTCATTCACAGAACGCAAGTTTCTGGAGGGCACATAGATCTGCAGAAGTGAGAGCAGATAAGAAGAAGCAAGGCCAGAAGTCACTTTGTAGGCAAACATCAGAGCTTTGAATTTGATGCGAGCAGCAACTGGCAGCCAGTGCAAACGGACTAGCAGCGGAGTGACATGTGCTCGTTTAGGTTCATTGAAGACCACTCGTGCTGCTGCATTCTGGAGCAGTTGAAGAGGCTTGATAGAGTTAGCTGGAAGCCCAGCTAGTAGAGAGTTGCAGTAATCCAGTTTGGAGAGAACAAGAGCTTGAACAAGGAGTTGAGCTGCATGTTCAGATAGGAAGGGTCGGATCTTTCTGATGTTATAGAGTGCGAATCTGCACGATCGAGCAGTTCTAGAAATGTGGTCAGAGAAGTTTAGTTGGTCATCAATCGTTACTCCAAGGCTTTTCACCATTTTGGATGCAGTAATGGTTGCCCCATCCATCTGGATTGAAAAGTTATGGTGTAGAGTCGAGTTGGCAGAAACTACAAGCATTTCCGTTTTTGTGAGGTTCAGCTGAAGATGATGATCTTTCATCCAGTGTGAAATATCCAACAGGCAGGCTGAGATGCGAGCTGGAACCGAGGGATCATCAGGATGAAAAGAGAGGTATAGCTGGGTATCATCAGCATAGCAGTGGTAGGAGAATCCATGTTTCTGGATGACTGGTCCTAAAGATGTTGTGTAGATGGAGAAGAGAAGTGGCCCAAGAACAGAGCCTTGAGGTACCCCAGTGTTTAGATGCTGTAGGTTGGACTCCTCTCCCCTCCAAGACACCCTGAATGACCTGTCAGTGAGGTAAGATCTGAACCATTGTATAACAGTGCTGCCAGTTGCAACGCCCAGTGACTCAAGCGTAGATAGCAGGATCTGGTGGTTGACAGTGTCAAAAGCAGCTGACAAGTCCAGCAAAATGAGGACTGATGATTTAGAGTCTGCTTTAGCCAGTCTGAGATCCTCCACGACCGAGAGCAGGGCAGTCTCAGTTGAGTGGCCTTTCTTAAAGCCGGATTGCTTGTTGTCCATGAGATTGTTTTGAGTAAGAAAGTCCAGGACTTGATTGAACACTACTTTCTCCAGAATCTTGGCCATGAATGGAAGCAGGGATACTGGTCTGTAGTTTTCAAGTAGTGTATGGTCCAGGTTGGGTTTCTTTAGCAGTGGGGTTACCCTAGCCTGCTTAAATGAATTGGGGAATAAACCAGAGTCAAGAGATGTGTTAATTATGTGAGTCAGTGTTGGTATGACTGCAGGAGAGATGGCTTGCAAGAGATGAGAGGGAATGGGATCGAGTGGACAGGTGGTTGCATGGCTAGATAGCAGGAGTTTGGACACCTCAGACTCAGAGAGCTGAGAAAAAGAGGTGAGTGTGTGTGGTGTTGGTGGTGTACCTTGCGTGTTTGTTGTAGGTGCAGCAAATTGAGCACTGATTTTTGCAGTTTTGGTGCAAAAGAATGTAGCAAAGTCATCAGTAGTAAGTGTGGAGGATGCGGGTGGAGGAGGAGGATAGAGGAGGGAGGAAAATGTTTTAAAAAGTAGGCGAGGATTAGTGGCATTGTTGATTTTCAGACGGTAATATGTCTGCTTTGCCGAAGTAACCTCAGCTGAGAAAGAGGACAGAAGAGTTTGGTATGTTAAGAGCTGTGCAGGATTTTTAGTTTTCCGACAAATTCTTTCTGCAGCTCGAAGTTTTGAGCGATGCTCACGGAGAGCATCCGAGAGCCAGGGTGCAGGAGGACTGGCACGCGCTGGCCTGGATGCAAGAGGACATAATCGGTCTAGACGTGATGCTAGTGTGGAGCAGACTGTATCAGTGGCACTGTTCGAATCAAGTGCAGAGAGTTTGCAAGATGGAGGAAGAGAGTCTGAAACAATGGTGGATAGTCTATTGGGTGAGAGAGATCGTAGGTTTCTGCAAAAGGTAACCAGTGTTGGAGTGTGTGGCGGCTCAGGAGTAATGTGGATGTTGAGAGACAGAAGGAAATGATCAGATATTTGTAGTGGAGTAACTATTGTTTGATCAGTGAAGCAGTGTCGTGTGTAAATAAGGTCTAGCTGATTACCTGATTTGTGGGTAGCAGAGGTAGGTGCTCTTTTTAGGTCAAAAGAGGCAAGCAGAGTCTGAAAGTCTGCAGCTTGCGGTTTGTCAACGTAAATGTTGAAGTCACCTAGCACCAACAAGGGAGTGTCAATATTAGAAAAAGATGAGAGAAGAACATCCAGTTCATCTAAGAAGTGACCTAATTTACCTGGCGGGCGGTAGATGACAACCACATTTATGTAGAAGGGGTGGATAATGGTGACTGCATGGAATTCAAAGGAGCTGATTGTTGGCAGGGACGTTATCAGAGTAAATTTCCATTCTTTGGAAATTAGTAGTCCAGTCCCACCCCCTCTCCCTGTGTGACGAGGAGTGTGGGAAAAAGAGAAATTAGCAGAAAGAGTAGCATGTGTAGCAGTGTCCTCCGGCCTCAACCAGGTCTCAGTTAGAGCCATGAGATTATAGTCAGAATATGTAGCTATGGAGGTAATAAAATCTGCCTTGTTAACAGCTGATTGACAATTCCAGAGGCCCACGGAGAGAGTTGTGAAATAGCATGTATTGAACGAAGGTTGTGAGGATTACGCCTGCAGCGTACCTCCCGTGTTTTGCGAGTGTTAGTAACAACAGGAATTAGAAAACACATAATAAAAGTGCACTGACAACAAAAGATAAAGTAAAAAAAAAGAAAGTACTCAAGTGCTTTGTCGGTGTCTTTGCTCGGTGGAGTCGCGCAGGTAGAGTCGATGGTCTTTACCATTTACTTCTATACAGCTTAAAGTTACATTTAAAGGCTTAACTAGGCAGGTTAGGGTAATCAGGCAAGTTATTGTATAATGATGGTTAGTTCTGTAGATTATCGAGGAAAAAAAATGCTTAAAGGGGCTAATAATTTTGTCCTTAAAATGGTGTTTAAAAAATTAATAATTGCTTTTATCCTAGCCAAAATAAAACGAATAAGACTTTCTCCAGAAGAAATAACATTTAGACATACTGTGAAAATTTCCTTGCTTTGTTAAACATCATTAGGGAAATATTTAAAAATGAAAGAAAAATCAAAAATATATATAAATATATATACATAAACATATATATATTTATATATACATATACACACACACACATATACATACATATATATACACATATACATACATACATATATATATATATATATATAGAGAGAGAGAGAGAGAGAGAGAGAGAGAGAGAGAGAGAGAGAGGTTTATAGACAATTGTTTGGTTTTCAAAATCTTTTTAACAAATATTAAAATAAGACAGTATAGTTATGTTTCTGAGTTGAACAGATATGTAACAATATATTGGAAAAAATAGAAACAGAGGAATCTTAAGTTTCTGTTTACAAAATTCATTTCATCAACTTATGTTATATTACAAAATCAAAATCTCATTAGTCATATCATAATCATTCAATGAGTTCATAGTAACACATGCATGCACAAACACATACATGCATACATACACGCACACACATACATACATACATATATATATATATATATATATATATATATATATGTGTGTATGTATATATATATATATATATATATAGAGAGAGAGAGAGAGAGAGAGAGAGAGAGAGAGAGAGAGAGAGAGTTTGAAAGCCAAATAACCATTTGACATGTTAAGAATGGCAGTATCACACACATAAGACCGCAACTTCATACAGAATAGAAACCTATAGTTTGGCACAGTATGAAACAAAAATGAAAAGGAAATATCATGTTAAACTAGGAATTGTGAATTCAAATCAAAATCAATGACAGTATTTTATCAGTAACATCTAAAAATCTCAGTTATATTGATCCCAGACTAGTGGACCTCAGCTTTGCCAGTTTGTCTTCTTTAGCCCCGGGAGAGTGAGTTCATACCTGTTTGATCAGAGAGAAAAAGGTTTACATAAACAGAAACAATCTGTATACTTACTAAAAGCTTATACTTAAAATATTCTCAGCTGTTCAATAAAAGTTCTTCCACTACACATTTAATAGGCAAAAACTTCAGCTGTCCTTACCATTCTGTTGAGCCCTTCGTCAGATCTATTTCAGACATATCAATCAAAACCTTTGAAAAAAGAATGTTACTTGTTAGAAAAAATAAATAAATAAATCATTCGCAATAATGCATCAAACTGGAAAAGTTGTCTCAGATTCTAGTTTATAAATGGCCTCGTATGTTTATGCCAATACAGTTTAGAATTTACTAACCATTCCAATCTCTTTTCGCTCTCTCTTATGAAGCATTTTATTGTTTTTTACAGCAACGTCCAACTTTCTGTTTCTTGCTTCCTCCAGTGACACTGCAAACTCAAAACTGAGACAACAGTGAGGTTAGAGATTTTCATAACATTTCAAACCAATCAATTAGAATACTTTGCTTTCAAGAAGTGAAAAATTGTACTAACGTTTCATCAAAGACAGGATTCACAGTCTTCTTTTTAACAGCGGTGCGCTTTCGGTGTTTCCACGTCTGGTCAGGCAGCAGATACATGCGAACGTAAGTATCAGAGCCACTCTCATTGGAGGAAAACAGATTGCTAAAGAGCAGTGAAGAAACATAATCATTCATATGATTCTTTAAGATTATGGGGCAAAATATTTGCTATCATAGTTCTCTTACTTGCAGCAGTTGACTATCACAATAAGCCGCTTTCTTAAGGTGGCATAACGCAATGTAATCTGGATCTGTCCAAAGGTGCCCTGATGATTCATGATGGCCCTTTAATTAACATAGAGGTTCACTGGTTAACTCTAAGGATTTGTGCAACATAAAACATTTGTACATTTGTTATGAAACTTTAACAAATCAACACTGAACCAACTCAAACTCAATGAAACCATTCACAGTTTTCAGTCACGCAAGTCCTGTAAGTGAGCAGGAAGACCTGGAGGGCAAAGAATTCTCAGAACAACAGTACAGATCAAGCCACAGATATTGGATCACCTCTCAGAAGGAAAACATTCAGCAGGTTTGTACACAGCACCTTCTGCTTGTTTTAATCATTAAAAACCTGATGTGAAAAACAATTATACATATTAAGACAGGGATAATAAAAGATCAAACTCAGTATGCATACTCGCGTCAATCATTTTTATAAGTTTAACTCACAAACAGTATAGTGCATTCAAATTCTGTTCATCTGCATAGTTTGTTTAATCAGCCAAGTGTATACTGAATTTGGTCCTTTAAATGTCACTTGATTTGTAACTTAGTACAGTCCTCCTGGAAAAATGAATGGGGGTCAATGGGGAAAAGTCTTGTCTTGGCCTCCAGACACAGTTGAAGTCAGAATTATTAGCCCCCTTTTACTTTTTTAAATTTATTTTTTATATATATTTCCTTGATGTTTTTTTTTTTCTTCAGGAGAAAGTTTTATTTGTTTGTTTTATTACGGCTAGATTAAAAGCATTTATTAATTATTTAAACACCATTTTTAAGGATAAAATTAAAAGTTCCTAGCAAAAAAAAAATTCAGATGGTCTGCAAAACAAACCATTGCTATACAATAACTTGCCTAATTACCCTAACCTGCCTAGTTAACCTAATTAACCTGGTTAAGCCTTTAAATGTCACTTTAAGTTGTATAGAAGTGTCTTGAAAAATATCTAGTCAAATATTGTTTACTGTCATCATGACAAAGGTAAAATAAATCAGTTATTGGAAATTAATTATTTAAACTATTATGTGAAAAAAAAATCTCTGTTAAACAGACTCTGGGGAAAAAATAAACAGGGGTGCTAATAATTCTGACTTTAACTGTAGGTGTTTTGTTAATAGAGCCTTCTGCAGAGCGGCTTATAACTAAATTAGAGAATTAGTCACCCAAAAATTCTCAAATAATTCTGCTATTTATCACTCACCCTCGTGTCATTCACAAATTTAGGTGAAATATGAGAGCTCTCTCATCCTCCATCCCGAGTTTAACCAAAAACATTGTCAAAGCAGTCCACATGACTTAGTAGTTCAACTTTAATCATTTTGAGGAGGAAAACCTCTGTAAAAACAACTTTGTTTGCCAATGGCTTCCTTGTAGGGCCATCATGCAATACAGGCAATAAGGTATTTGCATCCTATTCCCTAGTAAACACGCACCCTGACATGGGAGAGAAGAAAAACCATTTTGAATTTACAGTTTTTGTTCCTAGAGTTTCATATGATTAAAGTTAAACCTCTGAAGTCATATGGGATGTTTTTGGTTCCTTTTTTTGGACTTTGAACATTTAAAAACCCCTTGCTGTTGAAGGAGGATGAAGGAGGAATCTCTTTTAGATTTTATCTAAAATATCTTAATTTGTGTTTTGAAGGTCTTAGCAATTGGAATGTTAGAAATAAAAGTGAACAAATGATAACAGTGTTAATTTATGGGTGAACTAACCCTTTTGTCGTCTGGCTATTAAAACTCTCAGACCCCTGAATTTTCTAACTTCCACATAATTTCACAACAAAAACCATTAGATATACCAATAGAGACAATAGAGATTCTGTAATATTTATAAGATTTAAAAAAAAAAAAATACTGAAATAAATTAATAGAAATTATTACATCCCACAGTAAACCGATGTACAGAGCCCTGGAAATAATCTGTTTTGGGGAAAAAATCCTGCTCAGATCAAAATAAGAAGGCAATGTTCAATGTCTCTTATTAAGAGTTTTCATCCAATTACATAGAAAACACATAATGTGAGTAAATGTATTGAGGCAGTGACATTAACAAATCCAATTAGAAATGATATACAGTTTAATAATAAAATGTAAGGCAAGCAGATGAATATGATATGTGGAAATGCTATGTGGAGAGGATTAGTTCTCTTTTTCTTACTGAAAACATCCTGATAATGTACTCACCCTATCCAAGTTGGTAAATTCTTCAGTCAAAAATAAATTATAGTTTTGAAGGAAAACATTACAGATTTATTTCTCCATGTTCTTTACTTTTATAGTACTCAGTGGTTTGAATTTGCAAATTACCATTTTAATGCAGCTTCAAAAGGCTGTACTCTTTACCAACAAAGGAAAACATGCCTTATCAATAGAAACAATCTGTCATTTTCTTAAAAATATACAAATATAATATTGAAGTCAGAATTATTAGCCCCCATTTTCAATTTTTTTAATATATATTTGCCAAATGATGTTTAATGATAATGTTTTTTTCTTCTGGAGAAAGTCTTATTTGTTTAATTTTGGCTAGAATAAAAAAAGTTTTACATTTTTAAAGACCAGAGTCAAATTTTATGTGCCGTCATCATGGCAAAGATAAAAATAAATCAGTTATTAAAAATGTGTTATTAAAACTATTATGTTTAGAAATGTGTTGAAAAAAAATCCTCTCCGTTAAACAGAAATTGTGGAAAAAATGAACAGAGGGCTAATTTTAACTGTATATAAAATCAAGTGTTTAAAAGTTTCTGTTTTGTGGTTAAAAGTATATACATTTTTAATTGAAAAAAATGACAGATCATTTTGGCAGGTATAACCTTATTCCTTGACTTGGATAGTCAACTGTATTCAGAAAAAATCTCAGTTTTAACTGAAAACCAAGAAAAAAATAGCATCTTGGAAGACAAGGGTGAGTAAATAATCAGGAAATTTGCATTCTGGGTGTGAACTATTTTTTTTCCGCAGTCTACAGAGTAAAGAATAGTATGACTGTCTTTAAAATTAGTAGTTATATTAAGCATATTGTGTATACTGATCTTTAATTTTAAAGTTGCTTTCATTTTGTAGAGTAGTCATCTGCTTAAATGGATCGTTAACTCCGAAATAAATATTCTAAAGTGCAGATGTCAGAGAGTGACTGCAAGTCAAAAGACAAACCCTATCATCCGTGCTGGACTATGTGGTAAACTGTATTATTTTTAAACTATCTATGCTGAATAATAGCATTGTTGCCTTATAAAAAGCTGCTAAAGAAATGAGTTCACTTCACATACTTTGCGACATTCACACTGTTAATGAAGAAAACCAAATCATCACTGTAATAACTGTGCCTGAATAATGTCTCTTTAGAGCTATTTTACTGAAATTACATTATTTAATAGCTGAAGCTAATATTGGCAGTACTGTTATTTTCATTTTCCCAACCATGTGCTTTGAAATAATTGGAGTTGTATAAAATGCTAGATTGAAAAAAAAAAAAAAACAATAAACATATACAGCATAGAATATTGTACCTACTCTGGGTAAGGGTAACTGTCTGTGAGATCAACGCGTGAAGAAGCAATCGAGTTCTCAGACAAAAGGCTGTGGGAATCATAGCGTCGCATTGGACCGGGGGTGGAAGGGGTCGATTGCAGCCCCTCTGAGCCCACAAAAGTGCTTCGTCTGTAGGGAGGATACTCTGCTTGAAGATCATTTAAGGGCACAACTGAAAATGGAACTTGGGTTTTAGAGAGCGGGACTGATGAAATGGGCCCTTTTTCTTTTGGGTTGCTCTGTACTAGCTGAGCTGCAGCCGGAGGTGGAGCTGGATTTGGAACTGGATTTGAAGTTGGATTTGGAGTACGTGGCTCAGGACGATTTGGGGTTGATGTATTTTTATCCTGAGGTGCTGAAGTGACAACCTTTGGTTGTTGTTTCTCTAATGTAAGAATCTAGTAGGAGGAAAGATATGAAGTTTTGTTAACCATAGATTACATTTCAGAACAAACATAGCATTATTCAGCTAACATACAGAATTATTCTGCAAAAGATCTAAATAAGAAAAGGGTTTTACCTAAGCAAGCATCTTTTGAAGCAACACATACAACTACTGTCTATTTTCATGCGTTTAAACATAATTAATTTTTTACTTAGTTCACAGTTTTGTTTTTTTAAGTGCCGCAAATTGCCTGAAATATGTAATCTTTTTTAGATGAAAAAAAAAAAAAAAATAAATATATATATATATATATATATATATATATATATATATATATATATATATATATATATATATATATATATATATATATATATATATATATATTACTTTGGAAAATATCTAAATGACAAAAAAAACGTAAATCACTTAGCTACTCTGTATTAATTTATATAGAACTGTTGATTATATAGCATGTAAGACAAGTACAATATAAGTAACTGTAATAAAATGATCTAAAAATCAACAGTAATTCTTTACATTTTGCAGTGTGCAGTCATAACAGATGACATGTCTTTGACAATTTTACTTACTAAAATAAGTTAATCATGTTTCAACTTCATAGTTGTTTTAAGTCTATTTAATGTCATGTAGGCTAAAATTACTTGCAAGTTTAATTTGATTAAACATAAAAAATATGATTATGAATATTTTTATTACAGTAACTTGTAACTTTTTACACCAGACACTGGCTAACAATTTGGGATGTTTCTAGCATCGATTTTTTATTTTGCATCAGCAGTCATTCAATAGGTGACAGAAAATGCACCTTCAATGAATGTAAAAAAACAATAAAGGTCTGTTCCAGTACTTCGTTCACATTCATGCTTAAATGTTTTATGCTTTTTGTAATAAATTGTTGAAAGTTAAAACAAGGTTGTTTCCTGCTTAAAGCTTAACTCCCAGAAAAATAAACGTATGTATTTCACAATGGATTTCAGTACAATTACTGATTAACAAATTTGATTGTAACACTTTACAGAAGAATAAATTAGTTTGTTTTAATGTTAGAGCTGATTTATTTCCCTCACATACTCACCCTAAGAACAGCTTTCAACTTGACCTGGCTATTGGGTGCGGAGCGCTCCAGCTGAAAGCGCTGGTCCAAAGTCATGTCAGAAACATTGAGCAGCCGCACCAACGGCAGACTGAATTTGCCCAGTGAGGATTTCTTCTCATGTTCCTTTACCTGAGGCCACAGGGTAGAAAAGTGAGACTTTGTATGGCACATTCCTACTGTTTGTTATAGTTGTCAGTACTTTTATTTCTGTTTAGAATCTGTTTAACATAATATGAAATACGATTGTGTAAGGTCCACCCAGTTGGTCCAATGGAGGTGTCAACTGGTGGATGAAGGTTCAATGCCTGTTCGGCCCTTCCAGTGCACAATGTTGATTTACTCTAAATTCAACTCATATCTGACTCCAATTTGAATATGAGGTGGTTTAGAATATTAATATATTTATCTTTCGTTTTATCTGACTCCAATCATAAAACATTAAGAAGGTTATATCAATATATAATTTAGATAAATGTTTGAACTTTTTGTCTTCACTTGTAACTATTACATTTGTTCATTCAGGTGCTCATGTCGCTCAGAGAGATCGGCCCGGCCGATGACGTATACCTAACGGTCACACTCTTTTCAGTCTTGAATATTAAACAGAGGTAGATGACTACTACTTTTAGATGGCCGCTCCCATGCTTGCTCATTCTAAAGTATTTTTAATTAGTCCTCCTTAGATGTACACCCTTGAGTAAAGACAATATAATTTCCAATCAGAGGTTAGGGCCATTATTATAAATGTAACCGACTACTGTACTCTATAATAATTTTGGTTTAACCAAGCCCATGGTTTCCCATATGAACTTAATTTAGAATAATATTAATTTCAAACAAAGGTCGGGTACCCAATCCAGGTTAGTCGTGCAACCCCTTGTTGTCCTAAACGGAAGTTAACGCCCTATCCACCTAAGTACACTTGAATCAATATCAAGAGTCAGTCGGATCCCTAAAATACAATTAGTGTGCCCAATGCTCCATCTCAACTGGATTTTAGTCCGTCTACTGACCTGACAAAGAAAGTGTCGAAACAAGGATACAGCGTAATCTACTGGAATGAATAATTACAGAGTAAGCAAAATATGTTCAAACATAACAATTTAATAGTCAGGTAAATGTGTATTATGCCAATTCATTCAGTCAATTCATAAATGATCAATATAAAACATAAAAATTATAAAAGATAAATCCAAGATTAAAAGACGCATACCTAATTTCAAAATATACATAACATGGAGCATTAGAGCTACATCATATGGGCTGATCTGGGTAAGCAGAATCGCGCCAAACATTTTTCAAACCTCCCCTTGAGTAGTAAATCCAAGAATCCCCTCAAGGAAAGGGGTGTGTGAATAACAAAAGGCATTTGCATTTAGTTGAAGAGTTTCTGCCTGTAGGAAAGGCACACCCTTCACATTGGTTCAAAAGATACCTGAAGTTATATATTTATTGCTTTGATTATGTCTATTTCTGAGGGAATGAGATTATTGTACCAGTCGCACTGAGACATTTCAAATGATATCAAACATGATAGATAAAGTCTGGGGAGCTGGCTTTTCCCGCATTCCTGCCTGCTGGGTTGTGGAGCTGATTGTCTCTGCTTTCGGCTCATATTTGAGTTGTCAAAGACATCAAAGCATTTGTGATATCTCACGCCTTACATATTGTGATTTTAAAAGTCTTACCTCAACATTTAACACTTGGTTTTTAACACTGTGCACAAAGAATGTGAAGCATTCATCAAAAATCGGGTCTTTTGAGGCAAACACAACCTGTCAGAACAAATAAACACTCTGATTAAACACTTCAGCTTCTAAACATCTGATAAACTGTTTATATTAATGTAGTTGTAATATTAGACAATAATAATACAAAAAAGTTACCTTGCTTTTCTGACTTTGCAGATCAATGGAAAACTCCACATAGGAGTTGGGATTATTTGTTTTTCTAGTGACCTGTGATATAAAATGAACATTGCTGTAAATAAAGCTCAATAAGAGCCATACCCCCCAAATAACCCTGTTTATAGTTTAATCACAACCTTTCTATTGAGACTAGACAGATTTTCACAAATCTGTCACAGAATTCCATTTACCTCTGGAACAAATTTTTGAAATTGACAGATTTAAACACTTCTGCACATCCCTGATTGCAAAACAGCTGCATGGAATATTTAGATAGCAATGCAACAAAAATTTTTATGATTATAGAACTATGACACCGAGAAAACCACTAATATTTCTCTTTCAATTTGCATAATGTGTATGTGGTTAACAAGATCATTTTCATAGTTGAGCCACTGATGGAAACCAGTTGAACAGGTCGCTACAATTACAAAGCAGCAAAAACTCAAAGCTGCGCCTTGACTTTTTCATGCTGGCAGTTGAATATGATTTAATCTCTGGAATGTTCTCTTGCTCAGTGCAAGATGGCAGAAGGCTGCATTCCAAACACATGAGACAAATCAGCAGTGAAATAGCAAGACATCTAGCTTGTTGAGGTTTCTGTTTCACATTGTTTATGAGAAAGTAGAAAATCAAACTTTCCAGAAGGCTAAAATGAATAAAAATCACAATTATAATTTTATCATCATATACTATATATATATATATATATATATATTTATTTTATTCGCAGTCCCTGATAAAGAAGGGAATACGTCAAAGTAAAGCGAGTTAAAAATAAATTAAATAAAATGTTGTGTTTAAAGGGTGTAGATAAGTTCAAAGCATTTTTTACCCGAGACTCTTTAGGTTGTTTTCCATGTTTTTCATTATGGGTGACTTCACGTTGATCTTTCTTTAAAGCAAAGAAAAATAGGCAAAAAAAATAATCACATATTAATGCTTGTTCTGATTTATGGTTTCTATTATGACAGGCTGGCAGTCATTTGATCGCATTGTACATTTATACTCACAGGCAGATTAGATGCACAGTCTAGATACAATGCCAGCATAGCACAAGCAAGCCCATCACTGGTCTGAAAGAAAAAATTAGTTACAAATTAGAAAAAAAAACACGTTCAAAGTTTAATGACGCTGTGACAGAGTGTGGTATCATGGGAGTTGTGGTCTTCATTACATCGTATGGGGCTTCTGCCTGAGCTAATGTATTAAAAACTTGAATGGTAGTATGAAGCAGAGTAATGCTTCGTTCACACTGCACGCATAAGAGTTATGCTATTGTCGCAAGTTATCAAGTACGTTGTTTTTCAGCGTCCATGTTTACAGATATGAGCAGAGCTAAAGTAGAAGTGCCATGATTGTTTTGGTATTGGGTCTAATTTTCCAGCACTGCTTATTCTCAGGGTGTGACGGTGGCACAGTGGGTAGCACAATCACCTCACAGCAAGAAAGTCACTGGTTCGAGCCTCGGCTGGGTTAGTTGGCATTTCTGTTACGAGTCTGTATGTTCTCCCAGTGTTGGCATGGGTTTCCTCTGGGTGCTCCGGTTTCCCCCACAATCCAAAGATATGTGGTACAGCTTTATTGGCCGTAGTGTATGTGTATGAACGCAATAGTGTATGGGTGTTTCCCAGTGTTGGGTTGCGGCTGGAAGGCCATCCGCTGCGTAAAACATAAGCTAGATAAGTTTGCGGTTCATTCCGCAATGCTTACTCTCAATTATAGTGATTTAAACATGACCAAAAACACATTGAATGACAATTTTACCAAATAAGTGCGTTGACAATATTCACAAATTTTTCAATAGTCAATCAAATGCATTTATATGGTTAAAAACACAACAAATATTTAAAAATATGTCTTACCCAAACTACAAAATGTGAAGTACACAAGCTAAAAATCAAGAACAAAGCTTTTATAAACTGTCAAATAAAAAAAAAAAATATTTAAAAAGCAGAGCGCAACTTCTCACACTTTCTAATTTATCCACATTTTAAACTGAAACCATATTCAGTGATGCAGAATTATTTTGTTAAATTCTTGGCATCGAAGCTCCATATAAAAATCTCCATATAAAGAGCAACCCAGGTCAAATTAACCAGAGGTTTGCGCTTAATGGAGAAATATTCAATTATTGTTTTAGTCATCTCTAATTGTAGGAAAGAAATATATTAACAAAATGATATGAGAATATGATTTTGCTCAAAATAATAAGACTAATGTTGACACAATCCTTCATTTCAGTATTTATGATGTTAATAATGTAAGTATAGCACTGTATTCAATATAAACCTTTAAATTTATTGAACAGATATTTTTATGATATGCATTTAAATAATGTCCTCAACAAAGTTGCTTGGTTCTATACAGAACTTCTTTAAATGTGGTAGAATTTGTAATGAACTGTATATTTACAGAACAAGATTAAGCATGTTCTGTGAGTGAGTTGACAACAAAATTAAGCTGCAATGTGTATATTGCTAATTAAAAAGGAATAAAAATATGATTACCTCCTTCAGCAGTTCTGGGTTTGAGCACAAAGAAAACCACTGCAGTTTAAAATGTATCTGACCACTCTCAATGTCCTCCAGAGTGTACCACTGCAATGAAAATATAAGCGGTTTAGAAAATTAATTTCCCACTCCAATCAGCTGCCATTCAGTAAAAATGCAGCATGAGGCAGATCTTTCTCACCTTATCTATCTCTCGGTCTTTTCTCACATCCCCACAATCCATACTGAACCTGTGGCAAACAGTCCAAGCTCTCACACTAAATCACATACAGTGGGTGAAATAATGGCTATGATTTCAGCATGATCGACATTACCTGCCCAAAAAGTCATCAGCGTCTTTGTCTTCATCGTAGAGTTCCACCTCCAACTCCTGCCCCGGGGCTTCATGAATGACAAACTGTTTAAAGATATATTAATGAGATCTCTTCAAATTTTGTCATTTCCCAACTAAAAAGTCCTGCATATAAACCAGAACGGCAACTCATAATCACCTCATAAACTTCATTCCAGCGTGGATTCAGAGTTTCTTTGATGGTCTTTGTTTTGAAATGCTTGTTTCCAACTCTCAGCACAGTATATGGATCTGACTTGCCCTTTACTAGTCCCATCATGTGTGAGTCCTTTGCTACAAGATCGCGGGCTTCCAGAACATGGACGCGTACAACACCCTGAAGATGTTCACATAGTCTAACTTATTCTCCAGTTTAAAAACAAACATATATTTTGACAAAAACAACCAATCATGCTCAGTCTTACTCGAGGAAGAGGAAACCTCATTTGTTCAACCTTGACTTGATCAATTAAAGGGAAGCACATGCGATTGGGCAGAACCATGAGAGAGGCGATGACGTCCACAATGGCTGATTCTGACAAATGACTACAGAGGAAACAGACATTCAGATTTGATGGTGATGATGAACACAGAGTATCACGTTTGTCCTATTTATTGAGAAAAAGGGATTAGATATGTTGGATTTATCAACTAGAGGTCTGTAAGTGCAAGAGTTTCATAGGAAACATGGATGGCAGATTATGTTAGTTCATTCTTGGATTATTTTAGAAATGTATGAGATAAGAGCTTGCTGAAATAAATAACTACATTTGTACTAAAAATGAAATATTTATGATGGTTTGAGAAGCCAACATACTGTTACACTACATAAACTTATTACTATTCTTCCATCTTCTTCTTAAGAATGCATCTCCTCCTAGACTGTTCATACTACAAACACCAAACTAACACCAAACCTCCAAACTATACTGAATTAAGTTGCTATATCTTTTCCAACTCATCCGACTTACGGTTTTCCCAAAACTGTCCCGGAACATTTAGAAAAGTCCCATTGACTTAACATTGGACCAAACTTTATTACCTCATAACTTTGCACCAGCTCATTTAACTCAGACTACAAATCTGCCAATCACTGATGACCTTTCAACTTACTAGCAACACCCTAGCAACCACTTACAGCACCCTAGCAACTGTCCCACCCTACTGAAAAAAACAGCTTAAACCAGCCTAGGCTGATTGGCTGGTTTTAGCTGGTCAGCCAGGCTGGTTTTAGAGGGGTTTTGGCCATTTCCAGGCTGGTTTCCAGCCATTTCCAGCCTGGTCTTAGCTGGTCAGGCTGGGAGATGACCAGCTAAAACCAGCTTGACCAGCCTAGCCAGACTGGGAGCCCAGCCAAAACCAGCTATGTCCAGCAGTACGTAATACTGTTTCCGGCTCCACTCATTTGAGTTGAGAAATTTTTCGCTTATAATCACTTTTCATTCATATCACACATTAAAGTGAATTTTATATAAAGTCATGTACACAACAATCTCTGGGCTTGCTGCATAACAAAAACCAAAATTTTAACAATCTATAAATAAATGAATCACTTTCTGGCCACTGGAAATTAGGCATGGACATATATATTGCGATCGTGATTTTCGAAAGTATTAAATGACTTTGTAAACGTTTATTATTACCATTTCGTGAGTCTCCCCATACAGTTGAATAGAGTGCTTGGACCCGGAAGCCGCTTCACGTGACGTCACACTTAATAAGCGGATACACCAATCCATACTAGCAATATACTGATCCATACTAGAAACATACTAACACCCATCAATACTAAAAACACAAACATACTAATCGTATTAGTAACATGCTAATTCATACTAAAACCATGTTAATTTATGTTAGCAATATACAATTTTAGTGGTCTTATTAACCATAAAAAAATCACCCTAGAAACGCCTTAGCAACCATTCAAAATACCATAGCAACACCCTAGCAACAAATCAGAATACTTTAGCAACCCCCTGGCAACCACACAGAACACCTTAGCAACTGGCTAGCAACACCATAGCAACCACTTAGAACACCCTAGTGATTGCCTTGTAACACCTTAGCAACCATCTAGCAACACCTTAGCAGCAAACTAAAACACCCTAGAAATCACCTAGCAATGTCTTAGCAACCACTCAAATATCCTAGCAACATCTTAGCAACCATTCAGAATCAGAACACCCTAGCAACCCCTTAACAACCACTCAGAACCATCAACCACCTAGCAAGAAACATGCTGATCCATACTAGAAACAAGATAACATACATGTAGTTATCTATCTATGCCAACTGTTTCAAACTTTTTGAAAACTGCTTCAATGATTTAAACTTTACACTTCTTTAAACTTTCAGACTAGACTTTCTCAAGCCACCATAAAGTTTGTCAACAAACTTTAATTTATCAGTTTGTTTTGAAAGAGCATGAGATACATATATCAAATTCATAGTGAATGAGGATCCCTGAGATGCTTAATGTCATGTCAGGAGTACAGAGTACTCATAATCATCCGTAATATTATTCCTACAATACTGAAAAAGGGACACATAATCATGAATATTATTACATGTACTATTAATCCTGCAATGGTTTTTATGGTATACATACTCTATACTGGTATGGCAACATTCCCTATCCTGAGGCACTTTTGAAGGTGAGTGTAGGGTGGCCAGATAATTTCCTGTTTGTTTTTCCCTATTGTTTTGTTTAACCAACACAGATTAAATTTGATACGTTCCTACTTTACTATAATTTAACTTTTCAATGTTCTAAATAAACATTATTGACGGACAATCTAAAAACCCATTAATTATTTTTTCCAGATATTTCATTTTATGTAACATGCTGTAGCTGTTTCTGAATGTAAAAAGTAAATGTTCTTCAGAGTTTTAAAGATCTAAATGCAAAACAAAAGTTAGTGCCTACTGAAAGAAAAGAACTATTCTGAACAGGCAAAATAATCAGCATTTCTATAACTAATCTCGGGAGATCTGCAACAAATTTGCATAATATCAGTCTACGATCTTCATTGGCTACCTGGAGTGCCTGTGAACAACATCTACTCAAACACTCTCAAACAGTATACTTAGTAAATGTCAGGTTTGGGTTGATCAACTAATTAGGTTGGTCAACAATTTGTGTTGTTTACAGTGTAGAGTAGAATGAGAAAGCTCTGAAGCTGAGATTCAGATTTCAAGATTGACGTTTTGTTTTTGACACCAAGCAGTAGACCAATTACAACAGATTAGATCACTTTAGACTCTTTGAAATATGAGATGACAGGAAATGAATATTATGAAAAAGTGTTTTTGAACTTAAAAGCATGTTAATACATGCATAGAAGGTCTTAAAAACTAAATTTTAAACCTTCAAAATATTATAATATGGACACTTAAATGTACCTTAAACCTGGACCATCCAAAACGTTTGTCACTCCAGTCCAATTGATTTGCAGAGCCTATAAGTTCAATGTAAAATGTTTATAATAATAAAAACACACACATACATATATATGTGTGTGTGTGTGTATATACATATATATACATATGAAGTCAGAATCATTAGCCCCGCTGAATTATTAGCGCCCCTGAATTATTAGCGCCCCTGTTTACTTTTTTCCCCAATTTCTGTTTAATGGAGGGAAGATTGTTTCAGCACATTTCAAAGCATAGTAGTTTTAAAAACTTATTTCTAATAACTGATTTATTTTATCTTTGCAATGATGACAGTAAATAATATTTTACTTGATATTTTTCAAGACACTTCTATACATCTGATAGTGACATTTAAAGGCTTAACTAGGTTAATAAGGTGAACTAGACAGGTTATAGTAATTAGGCAAGTTCTATAACGATGGTTTGTTCTGTACACAATCGAAAAAAAATTAGCTTAAAGGGGCTAATAATTTTGTCCCAAAAATTGTTTAAAAAAAATTCAAAACTGCTTAAGACTTTTTCTAGAAGAAAAAAACATTATCAGACATACTGTGAAAATTTCCTAGCTCTGTCAAACATCATTTGGGAAAATTTTTAAAAAAGAAAAAAAAAATCAAAAGGGGGCTAACAATTTTGACTTCAACTGTATGTATATATATATATATATATATATATATATATATATATATATATATATATATATATATATATATATACTTTAAACAAACCAATTTTAAGCATTGTCCATACTCACAGGTCGACGAATGAAAAACATAGTGACTCCACCTACAAGGGGTGCCTGGCCAATCAGAGGTTCTAGAATTACACGCAGCATCCCCTGAAGCTAAACGACAACAACATCAATAATATTAATGATAATGATAAAACATACATAGCTTTCATTTTCATTTTCTTGTACATTGAATGAGGTAATTAATGAGGGGAGAATGACATGATGACTCGATCATCGCATCACAGCAAGAAGGTCGCTGGTCCCGACTGGGTCAGTTGGTGTTTATGTGTGGGGTGAGCATGTTCTCCCTATGTTCGCATGGGTTTCCTCCAGGTGCACCGGTTTAATTGGGTCTAAAGACATGCGCTATAAGTGAATTGAATAAACTAAATTGATGGTAGTGTATGAGTGTGAATGCAAGAGTGTATGGATGTTACCCAGTACTTGGTTGTAGCTGAAAGGGCATCCATTGTGTAAACATATGCTGGATAAGTTTGCGGTTCATTCTGTTGTGGCGACCCCTGATTAATAAAGGGACTAAGCCGAAGGAAAATGAATGAATTAATTAGGGGACAAGATGCTGTCACATTATTCAGTCAATACCTATGGAGGCTGAGAGAGGTCAATGAGCTGCAACTTAAGAAAACTAAAGCAAAAAGAAAAAACAGCATCAAATTAAGAAAATATATTTATTGGTTTGACAGCACATGTGTTGCAAATCCTCACAATGCAAACACAAATCAAAAATGTGCTGCAAATCTTCATACACATTTAAATAGCATGGACCACAACAGAGAGGTTTCACATGGATGAACTGAAAAAAGTGATGGACCTGGCTGTGATTTGCTTATTGTGCAGTGACTACTGCTCAGTGAAGTTGTAGGTGACCTGAAAGGTGAGATTTTTTATTTATTTGAACACCCTGATTACATGATTCCTTTGTCTTTTGCATATTATTTATCAGTCTAAATAAACTATTTAAAATAACTAAATTAACTTAATATCCTCAAGGAAATAACATTTCTAGATTAATAAAACTAAATTCGCAATGCATCAATAATTGTTAAAAATGAGGGCAAATTAAATTGCAGATAGGAATAATATTTTTTAAATTATATTTTAGTGGGCTAATGATGCAAAATGACTACATAATACAAATGCAACATGCTGAGTCAACTTTTGTTTTGTTTTTTTATATCAAAATGCGCATGTGTTGTTAGGATTTGCAACACATTTCTTTTATTTGTGTTTGCATTGTGAGGATTTGCAACACGTGTGCTGTCAAACGAATGAAGACATTTTTTTAATTTGCTGGTGATTTTGTTATTCGCTCTGCGGCATGTTGAGCTCTCTTGGCCAGCGTACAAATCTTTTAAATGATGCTAATCAATTTAGGCAGATAAACAATCAAATCACTATCTAATATTTGTAACACTGGCTGAAGGATCTACAGGTTTTCAACATTGGTCATAATGAGAAATGCTTCTTGAGCATTAAAGCAGCATGTTAGAATGACTTCTGAAGGATCATGTGATGGCTAAAGACAGAAAAAATACTGCTAAGAGTTTCAGTTTGAATCACTGAAATGCATGATACATGGAAGTATCACTTCAAAAATTCAGTACTTTCCTTCACTAACCTGAAGCCCTTTGATTCCTACTTTAATGGCTCGGTTTACATCAGCATCAATGTCCACATCAGCCTCGTAACTACAGTTGATGAAAAGAGCAGAGTCGTAAAACATATCAGATTTAGATGGTTACAAGACCACACATTACAGCAGTCATAAAGGAGTTAGTACACTGATAAAAATGATTCTGAGCGTTTGTAAATATTATCAGGTTTAATTAGTGAAATCAACAAAAAAATGTAAGTTCGTAGCTTTACATGAATAAATGTAGTTTAGAATTCATTAGGGTTTGTTCAAAACACAAGACATTGTGCCTTTTTTATTTACTCAGTTTTTCTGAGTAATCTCAGACAAACATTTTTTGTACTCGTAGACAACATAACATAACCTTGTTAAATTTACAAAATAACTATTCCCCTTTGTCTTTGACTGGGAAACCCCATTTGAAAGAAGAAGTGGAAGTGCAGTGCCAGTAGTTGCTGCATGTGCTAATGCTAATGGCGGATTTGTTTTTACTCTAAGTTGACACTAACATTTGCAAATCTGACTATAACATAATGCATGTAGTGAAAAATAATGTTAGATTTTATGTTTAGTGCAGGATTAGTAGTTAGATTCTTTCAGTTTAACCTCTTTACACAAGAATATAGCTTCAATATTTTACCAGACTGTATGTTGTAGTGACATTAACTTCTTAATTCACGTCGAGTCCAAAATACTTAATAATTATTTTATCTTCAATGGAATAAAAACGAGTAGGCCTACATAATATTTGTACGCAACTATGCTTTGATTTATTTCTACTCACCTAGCTGCACTAATGGCATCTGTTAGAACAAAATGTACATGTTTGGAGAAACACTGATTCATTCTCACGTTTGTAAAATATTCTGTCAAGATGACGGTTTTAAGTTCTTTAACTTAAATTACATGTAAAGGGCCTTTCAGAGAAGCTATCCTTGGTCTTAAGCCCTCTTTTCAAACATTATTTAAAGTCAAGATAATGCTAAAAATCATGTTAGTTATTATGCAAGCCAGGCTAGAAAATTAAAGTAGAGTAATAAAAGTGCCTCAGATACCCAGTGCTAGTTTCAACATCTTTGTTCTCTCTTTTGAAAATGCTGAATTTTTTTTTTTTCCACAAGATTTTTAGATAACGATTTAAATAAAATTTTTCTAGTTAAACTATTTGCTATGGATTTGGATTATTGCATTGGTCAATTAATAATTATTACACTGTCCCCAACAGGTGATTCACTTGACAAGTGCACTGGATAAGGGTATGTAATGTTTAAGAAATTGGTTTATTATGTTAACTGTTTACAAGCTGATTGCAGTGCATTAAATTCAGACTTGGACAGGTGGAAGATTGATATTGACATTGACTCCAAAAGACAAATTGTTATCAGACGCTTAATACTCTTCCTTGGTAAAAATACGGACTACTAGGTAATTTATTTATTTTTATTTTTTTATTATTATTTTTTATGTGAAAACCTTTAACAAAATATGTGAGATCATACAAAATGCATGTTATTTTTTATTAAGTACTGTTTTGAGTAACATTCTATATACAAGATGTTTACATATAGTTTAAAATACAAAAACCTAGCTCAAAATATTACATTAGCACCCTGCAAAAGTTTACATACATTGGTTTTTAATATGGTTTGTGGTTTCCGGATGATCTACAAGTGTACATGCCTACAAACGTTATGTTTGTACTGAAAAGTTGAACTCTGAAAAGTTAAATCCTCCATGTCCTGCACATTCTTCAGTTTTTCAGCATCTTCTGCAGATTTGAACCCTTTCCAGCAGTGATCGTATGATTGTGGGATTTGTCTTTCAGTCTTTTCACTCTGGGGATGATTGAGGGACTCAAACAAAGCTATTAACTCACTGATGCTCCAGAAGTAAATGCAAGGCAGTAAGAGCCAAAAAAAAAAAAAAAACACACACTCTTTTAATCTAAATATTAAGGTAAATTGCAATTTGCTTTTTGGGAAACATGCAAGTGTTTTCAGTTTTTTTAAGTAAAATATGATATTTCAAAATTATATTTCCTCAAAATAAGAAAAGAAATGCCCTCTTAATGCCCTGTGATTCCTTTTGAAGCATAAGTGAGCATTTAAACCTTTTTAACAGTTGTGTTTATGTCCCTCAATCAACCTCAGAGTGAAAAAATGAATCTCACTATCATACAGTCACTGCTGGAAAGGGTTCAAATCAGCTGATGAAAAACTGATGAATCTGCAGGACATGAAGAATTTTTGTAAAGAACAGCAGTCAGTGTAACTGTTTAGAACAAAGAAAAGACTCATGAACCATAACTATAAAGTAGAAAAGCCAAGGGTGAGTAAACTTTTGCAGAGGGCTGTTTTAATAATTTAAGCTATGTTTTTGTTTTGTGGACTATTTAAGTAAATTTTACAGTTTAAGTAAGTAAAATATCTTTGCACAGTGAATATATAATATATAATATATAATATATATATATATATATATATATATATATATATATATATATATATATATATATATATGATTTATTTTTTTCTGCAGGTTTAAGATGACTACGATTCTATAACCATTCAAGAGCGCCACCGTTCACTTGTGGACAACCATAGAGAGAGCAAATGTACTTTTTGGAGCAGATTCTTGCACCTACTGTACCTCATGGGACGCATGTATGCACTGGAACTAAGCTATCCAAAGCAACTCAAATACAACTTTGAGGTCTTTCACAACAGCTTCTTCAAACTTGACGACAAACAGTAACATGTTCCCCAATGCCCACGATCTCAAGGTCAGCTTATTGGCCTAAAAGCCATACAGACATTGTTGATAGTAGTGGGATTTTGTTGGGTCACTTCACTTACATTGTACTGTTCAGAATCTTCAGGTTTACCAAAAGTACTTTTTGAGGTGGCTTTTTCACATTTGGATCATACTTGTGGGGTATCTGAAGCGTTAGTTGACCAAAAAAAGATTTGTTTTTATTTTACTGTTTTTTTTTCCCTAAAGTGGTTTCAAACCTTTGTTTCTGTCTTCTGTTGAACACTAAAGAAAATTATTTAAGGAATGCTTATTCGGTAACTATTGACTTTCACAGTAGGAAAAAACAAATATTTGTGTTCAACAGAAGACAAAAAAGTTTGGGTGAGAAAACAAGTAACAAGTAAAGGGTGAGAAAACGATGACAGAATTTCTATTTTTGGGTAAACTATCCCTGTGCTTGTGAAGTTTTTTTTGTGATTTTTTTTTTTTTGCCCAGTGTGAATATAATTAGATTTACAGCATTATCAGTTAATATAACATATGTTTAGGATGCATAAAAAAAGTCCAATCCAAAAAAAGTTTGGTTTTCTGTGAAGATTTTTCACTGTTTACAATGCGTATGTTACTGTTTTGGTAGCAGTTAGGGATTAATAAACACAAGTACTATTGTGTAGAAAATAGTCTGAACCACCCCTATTAATTCCTTTGTGTTCTATCATTTTATATGTTTTGATGGAGTAAAAAAAATGGTATGTTGAAATGTATATTGAAGAAAAAAAATAAAACCTTTTTCATATTTCATTTCATTGTCATTGTCATTTTTCACATATTTCACATATTCAAATTTGCCAGCTTTATGTAATATTTTGTATGAATAGTCTACACCTACTTAAAATTTGTAATATAGACAATAAAAAAAGATGTTGGTTTCAATACAAAATGCAAGTTCATAACTCATTAGGTTATGTAGATACAAGGCCTAGTATTGTTACATCTATATAATAAAGCTATGCACAAAAAAATCACTACTTTTTTAAGTAAAAGAAGCAGAAATTTTTTATCAGTGTATGGTAATCTAGTATCAGACCAATGTTTAATGCTATAGCTCACACAATGTTGAGATCAAGAATGACTTCTCTTGTTTCCAGCTCATCTGTATACGCCCGAATGCCAGTAATAGTTGGAGCCTGAAAAACAAATTCAGTTTTAAGCTCTTTAATGTTTGCTCAGATACTTCTGATGGTGGAGTAATTCCTGTGAAGAGCACTGCGCTATTGATTATGCATGGAATTATACCTTCTGTCCCATGTGAACTTTAGTAAAGGTGAAAGTCTTTAGATGAGGGTGGACTGATCTGACCACTGTCTGGATGTTTTCAATGAGTAGTTTCTCCATGTACACTCCGAAGAACGGCCATGACTGCTGAAGAATCTACAACAAATAAGAACATTTATGGATGTACATTTAAGGCAAAAACATGGAAACTGAACAGAATCTCAGCATGCAGCCAAATTTGTGAGAAATGAGTCTAATAGATTCATTTGTTTATTACAAGTGTGCTTATACATACGACAGGTTATTTGCCTGGGAGAATCTTGCAATGCAAGTCAGAATAACAAAAATAAATTGGGTCTCAGAGGCAAGTCCATAACTTCAAAAAGGCCTCCCTTTTTGGAAATGTTGGTGTTTTTCAGGTTTTTTTGTCACTTTTTGTTTAATATGCTTTTATAATCGTAAACAGAAGAAAGAAAGAAAGAAAGAAAGAAAGAAAGAAAGAAAGAAAGAAAGAAAGAAAGAAAGAAAGAAAGAAAGAAAGAAAGAAAGAAAGAAAAGGGACATTCTTTATTCGATATCGCACATTACACTCACAGAAAAAAATTGCAAGAAATTACAAGAATTTTACAATTCCAAAGTTTTTACTGTATTAAAAAAGTCTAATTTATTTTACACTGCAGCAGCAGCCATGTAATAAAATAAGGTTAAGATAATGTTATACATCCAGCCAGTTGCCAAATAAAACCCCCAACAAACCACTGTGCACGGGCAGAAATTTTACCTTGTTGATCCACGCAGCCTTCTCAACATCTGCAAAATGAATCTAGCACGAACAGAGGAAATGAAAGTAATTAATAAACAAGTAATTAATTAAAACAAACTATTAAACAAGAAATTAATAAAAACAATTTTTTTTTTTTTTAAATTAGTCCGGCAATTATTATTATATTTTATATGGTTATGGATATCATGTGGCCTATTATATATTATTTCAACAGCAAAAATAATGTACATTATTTCACCCTGGTTATGTATAAAGAAGACAACCTCTCAACATTAGACAGGTAGCCTTTTGGCACAAAAATTCATATGGCTAGTTTTGTCACAGTTAAACGGATAGTTCACCCAGGAATGAAAAATCTGCCGTTATTGACTTACAGTATACCTTTTCAAAACTTTGGGTTTTTTTCTTCTGTTTAAAACAAATGAAGATATTTTGAAGAAAGCAAGAAACCTGTAACCATTCACTTTCATGCATTTGTTTTTCATACAACGGAAGTGTATGGTTACATGATGAACAGAAGAAAGAAACCCATAAAGGTTTAGAACCACTTAGGAGCATTTTTTTTTGTGTTTTTTTATTTGTTTGTTTGCTTTTTTTTTTTTTTGATAAACTGTCCCTTTATTTTATCTACCAGTATCGCAGTATTGAACTACCTTGTGTCTCATTCTGCCTGACTAAAGAAAGCAAGTTATACAGGTTTTGAACAAAGAAGGAACCCTAAACAAAACCTTTTAAGTTTAGATTGGAGAAACATGACATCTTGGGAATTGTAGTTAATATAAAAGCTGAAGAATGTAATTTAAAAGGTTAAATGCTCAATAAAACAGATCATAATCCATTTTATATTTTTCAGCTTTCAAGTACCGCATTAAAGGGTGTGTCTATTTATGGTTTTAAAGCAGGGCTGGGAGTTTTCATTAAAAAAATCTCACCTGACACCTTTTTGTATGATGTTCCTAAAGCAACACAACATGGACCCACACCTTTCAAAAGCATTTACCATTGTTTGGATATTAAGCAGTATGCATATACACATAGAGAGTAACCTTCACCATTTTCTAATTGGTTTTCATCATAAGAAATCAACTCACGGACACTCTATAGCCCACATGTTGCACAATTATTAATCCAAGAGGTCAAAATGAGCACCCACCCAAGGTGGCATGTCCATGGCTTTGAGTTCAGTACTGATCACGTCCTTCTCATTTTCTAAAAAGTCAATGGCTGTGTCGATTCTCTGCTCTTTCCACCTGCGGTTGTTTTTCCACATGGTCCACATAAACATGCTCAGAAGAATCCAGCTGACGCTTAGTCCAAATGTGCCCGTCAAATACACGGGGTAGCAGATGGCTATCGCCCTCATCATGAACATCAGGAACTCCAGGATCATCTGACTGACATCCTTCGGCTTGAGTCCCTCCGGTTGTTCGGTGGAGAGAGGGGGCTCGTTGACCCCGTTACTCATTCTGATTACAAAGTCTGACTCAAACTTCTCAAGTAGTAAAAAGTTAAAGCGTTCTAATTAATGTGTCGTTAGAGATCGCCTGGCGATGGCTTGGCTGATCGGTTGCTTCTCCAGACTACCTGATACAGTACAAACCATCAGATCGACACGGCAGACCAATCCTTTACCGAGCCGTGCACAGCATCACCTCACCCATCACTGCGTTTACTTCTCCGCTAAGCCGTCGTGATTGTGTCAGTTTCTGTAAACTTCCGTGTTTCCCATCCATTGGGGTTTTGTACCTGCCTTGGCCTCGAAGTAGACACGCCTAAATTCCACCCTTTTCTCGGCATGGGAAAGAGTAGGCTAGATCTGTTCATGTTGACAAACAGGAAATCTGTTGCGGGTTTAGAAATTATGTGCTATTGGCTTTACTTTAAGATAATTGATTAATGACTGAAAATGAGTGTGCGGCAGAGATTTACTGCATACGCAGTGTGTGTGTGTGGGGGGGTTTCATAGCCTAAAACATTAGTTGAAAATGATTATTTAAAAACTAATTAAAGTGTAAAACCAATTTGTTTGAGCCATATAGCTCATTTTTAGCCTTTTTATGTCAAATGATTATTGTTGTAAATATGAAAGATGGTTTGTATACACAATGTTAAAGTAAAGAGCATTTTATATTGTGTCTTCACATTTGATGTTGTATAGGAGCAGCGCTATTGACTCTGTTTTGCACCATCTCGTGGAGCTTCAATGCATTTGCAACAGTGCCTTTTATACAAGCTATGGAACTTATATTATAAATTCGAAGAATATTACAAACAAGGACATGTCTCTCAAATGCGAAATTGACAAAAAAGTAACAGCAAAAGCCTGATTAAATTGCTTAATTTGCATCTTAAAATTTGGCGTTTAGTATGGCAAACTAGTAATCAGCAATCTTGCGTCATTAAGATGATGTAATAAACGCTGATCGCTGAATAATAATATATCAAGTGCGCTTACTGTATCGCCTTAGTTGGCTTCATTTAATTATATAAATAAATTTTATGACATTTTTAGAAATATGAAGAGAAAATGGTCTGTCAGAAGTGGGATTCGAACCCACGCCTCCATTCGGAGACCAGAAATCCCATTTTACGGGAAGGTTTGAACCTTGAGTCTGGCGCCTTAGACCACTCGGCCATCCTGACAACTGATATTGTATTGACAAAAAGGTCATACATATTTAAAAGTCTGCCTGAGCTGCACTAGTTGTCTTTCAAAATTAATGCATAGAATAGAAAGGTGAGCGCCGAACCTTTTTTTAAAGGTTGCCTACCGGGTTTGTACACGCGACTCTTAAGCATTTTTAGCCTATTGTAAAATATGACACCAGTTTGTTATATGATCAAAATATAGACATACTAGCTGTTCATATACATTTTAGAAACCATTTCAAACAAGTGCACGTCACAGTTTTACAAAGTAAAAAATTATGTAAATCGATTTTTGCGCATGTGTATATCCCCGCTTATAGTCCGGGTTGCCAGATGTTCAGAGCATGTGACGGCTTATGATTGAATTGAAAAATTTTGCCACATTGGATTAAGTACTCTACAGGTTCCCATATTAGCAAAACTCGTCTCCTCCAACAGTTTAATCTCTTGTGGAGTATAAACATTTCAGTAAAAGCATTTCATTCAACTCAGCCAGTAAGTAATCCAAAGTGTACTTGAAAACTGCGGACTTGGCAACTCTACTTACAACACACTTAGCACGTGATCTGTTACTAAACGCTACAGGGGCGTGGCGCTTGATAACGTGCTTGATGTAGTTGGTTGTAGTATGTTATGACACCGTGAGTGAAACCGTAGAGATGTCTTTCTACCGAAACACCGTTTGGTTCCTGAAGGGTCTACAGGAATATACGAAGTAAGTCATCAGTTATACTTTTTACTTTAGTCTCTGCTTGCCCTACACTCTGATAAGCACAAGTCATATGAACGCTTCTTTTCTAAAATGTCACCCTCGGTAGTGTCTGCAGTAAAATAAAATTTGGTTACGTTAAACTGTCCTCAGGAGCGGTTATGAGGCGGCAGAGAGGCGCTTCACTCCGGCCGATCTGGATGTGAGCGTAAACGGCCGCTCGTTCATCATCACCGGGGCGAACAGCGGCATCGGTAAAGCCGCCGCCTACGAAATCGCCAAAAGAGGTGAGAAAACATGTCTTTGTAAATAAAGCACAATGACTACTACTGCCATTATAGCTGACCGTCGAAGGACCGAGCAGCTGTGAAGACCTTGTTCATTCATTCAATCAAAATCCTAACGAAAGGTTCAAAGCTTTACCAACAAAAGGAACGCAACAGTGACTCCTACTGGTAGATGAAGTGCAGTATTGAAGAAAATCAAAGCAATTCCAAGTTTATTTAAACCTTTTTGTTTTGCTTCAGGTGGGACTGTACACCTGGTATGCAGAAATAAAGATCGCGCAGAGGAGGCCAGAAAAGACATTGTGGAGCAAAGTAAAAGTGAGGTATATTTTCAAAGCCACAACTGTGCCATTTCAATAATTTTGTCATTTGTATCTAAAAAAAAACAAAAAAAAAACAGCGAGTTTGTGTCTCTCCTGTGCTTTCAGAATGTCCATGTTCACTTAGTTGACATGTCCAGCCCCAGGAAAGTGTGGGAGTTTGCCAGTGGTTTTTCTCAGAACCATAATCTACATGTTCTGGTAAATTAGAGTGTATACTGTATACATAATTAAGCAGACTTATTGTTGCTATATTGTGGTGGCCACAGCATGAAAGTGCTCAAACACTATGCAGTGATTGCTTTTTTTCATAAGTTATATCAAATTATTTCAACAGAAAGATCTTTTATCTACCTCTAAGTATCATATTTGTCTAGAGTGGTTTGCATTCATCATTACAACCATCGTAGTGTGTAAAATGTATGTATCATAAGTGTGTTATCAAGTTGTCTGTACTATTGGATTGTTTATCCACTTATTTATTACCATAGATCAATAATGCAGGTTGCATGGTCAATCAAAGAGAACTGACTGAGGATGGCTTGGAGAAGAACTTTGCGACAAACACACTTGGTATGAAAGTTAATTCATATTTTGATCACATCCTTACTTTTTTCCATATTGTGCGCCACAAAAGGTGGCATTCTATTTTGCCTATTTTATGATATTAGGATACCTTGGTTTTTACAGAGCTTTTAGTGTTACCTGTTACAAATGGAAAAATAAGAGATTGGCATGCATACTTTGTTTATTTTACAGGGACCTATATACTGACAACAGCACTGATTCCAACACTGAAGAGGTCAGAAAATCCCAGAGTGGTAAGTGAGAAGAAATGCATTCTCTTGTGCGTCTCAATGAATTATGTAGTAAAACCTGCCATTTGCACAATGCCACCTTATATTTCTTTATTCTTACATTTACACTCATAAAGTTTCCAGATATGCATGACTTTACTGACATGTTTGCAAGTTCATTATTCAAAAACAAATTTTCCCCAAAACTTTATACTTCAATTTAGTTATCTATTTCTTATATAATAATTCATTAGAGATTTCTGAAAATCCATTATTATCATTGTTTTAACAGATCACTGTGTCGTCTGGTGGAATGCTGGTTCAGAAATTAAATGTGGAGGACCTTCAGTTTGAAAAAAGTTCTTTTGATGGCACCATGGCTTATGCACAAAACAAGGTACTATTACAATTGTTTTTTGTTTTCCAGTGAGCAAACTTTGCTCTGTCTCTCACATTATACAAGTATACTATTATTTGAATCTATCTATGAGTAAATGTTGCTCTTATATTTTTGCTGGCTAACCAATTCAGTCCATTGCTGTTAACAATAATAGTGGCGCATAACAACAGGTTCCAGCAGCATCCCCGGCCTACCTTTGTTACAGTGATCATTATATTTTACACAGATGGAGCTGATTCACTGCATATATTGTTTTAATGAATTGTTGTTAACGGTAATTTAATTAAAGACGCCAGAGTTTTTAAGTGTTTGTGACCTTTTTCAGAGGCAACAGGTGATCATGACTGAACAATGGGCAACTCAGCACAAAGAAATTCACTTCTCCTCCATGCATCCAGGCTGGGCAGACACTCCAGGTGGGCAGCTTGTGTCTAAGTCATCCTCTTGTAGACTCTGTTTTATGGCAAGTCGTTTTAATGTTCAATCTATGGAAATTTACTACTATCTACTACGAATATGTTCTTCTACTTCTTTATTCGATACTAGTAAATTTTCCATTAAGTATACTACTGCCTGTACAATAGTGTACTTGCCTAAGAAAGTACTGCGCTGTATAAGGTAACTGGTTTATGGTTAGGTTTAGGGATCGTACCTACTTATTACCCTGTTTATGTAATGACTATGATAAGTACAAAGTATATAAATGAGGAACTGGACTAAAATAAAGTGCCACCAGTTGTTCTAGTATCTACTGATTAGCCTACTAGTAGCTAATCAAAAAGCACTAGTCTGTAACAAGTAAGCATCTAATTATTAGATTTGAGTGCCTAATGAAAAAGTACTAGTATCTAAAACCAGAACTAGTCAAAACAGTAGTTTAGTTATCATATAGTTGATTTCTTGACATATCCTCATACAGAAGTCAAAGACAAAAAATGGAAAGTCAGATGACAACAGAATAGTTACTATTTATTAGTGAAGTGTGTACTGGTATGCAATGACAAGCATTGCCATCTATTTAATAGGTAATATGGACTAATAGGTACTAATACATACTAAAACGGTTTACAGTATAATTGTTAAATGGTTTGCCATAGATGTCAAAGTTATCTTTTAATGTCAGCCACTAAAATTTTTCTTGCCCTTTTGACAGCTGTACGCTCATCCATGCCTGATTTTTATGAGAAAATGAAGAATAAGCTGCGCACTGAAGCGCAGGGTGCTGACACAGTGGTGTGGCTGGCCGTATCGGATGCTGCCAGCAGACAACCCAGTGGCCTCTTCTTTCAAGGTCAAGAAGCTTTTAATCTGAATTGCCACTTGTCATGTTGCAGAAGGCATGCTTTAATATTCTGTGCACATTAAACAACATGCCTCTGTACAGCAGACTACATGTCTCTTTAACAAATAACTAAAAATCTTTCAAAAACATTTACATCTGCAGACAGAAAAGCGGTTTCTACACATTTGCCTTTGGCCTTCTCCAAAACTCCTCCAGCTGAAGACCAGAAATTGATGAACCTGTTGGAGGAGCTGGCTGACAAATTCAAGAACTAATCAGTTGAGTTTCAAATTTCAGCAGCCAAATCTGAAGTGTACTCATCATTCCACTAAGAGACTGGTATTCATTCTTAATAATGGTAAGAATTGCAAAGATGTAACAAAAAGGATTAACCACAACAACCTGAATTGTTTGCTGGTGCTTATTTTCCAATATTCTGAAAATCTACACTCCTATTCATTACTCTACTCTATTAGTTGAGACACTAAAACACCCGTTTCTGCTAATGAAATGTTGGAATATGGAGTTTCTCAAGTAAAATGTCATCAATGTTGTTTACATGCATTGCACCTATTCATATTTGAAGCATCAATGTTAAAGCTGCTTTTTTGTTTTTTCAGAAAATTGTTAAAAATGAAGTACAACAACGTTTGCACTGTTGATTAATCAGACAACTTTTGCAATCTCTAAATAACCAAAGATTTTATTCCTAAATCTAAACCTGCTATTTCAAAATTGAATCAGTTTTAAATTGGCCTCTTGCTGGCCTAAAAAGTGATTTCAAGACTGAATAGCTGCGTAAGACATACTAGTCATATTATCATGACAATATATCACTGTGTGAACAAATATCATATTGAATAAATAAATAAATATTATAGATTATGTGTTTGTCCCGCATCCACATGTTTCTCAAATTTACTAACTCATTAATAACTAGAAAATATAATTATTAATTAAAAAAATATATATATTTTTAATGCCAATGTGTGGCTATTGATATGTAGTTTTTGTAATTAAAAAAAAAAATTAAATGAACAATATAATTTGGGGCAATTTTACATTTGTAGTAACATATATGTACTTCAGAAAACAACTTGAATCCATGTGTTAATTGTGTATGTTGAAACTAAACCGGAGGAATTGTATACTAGGAATACAAACAAGCTTTTTAATACATGGTGAACATTGTCATTATTAGCATTTATACAATTGGTCAATTTTATTTGTGATCAGGATGCAATAAATTGATCAAAAGTGACAGTATGGCCCTGTTGAACATCCCATTCTCACAGAATTCTATAAAAAATGCAGTTTACATAAAAATTTAAACAGGACACCCATTTTAATTTTTTATTTGATCAACAAATCATGTGCATTTAATGATTTCTGAAGGATCATGACTTTCATAAATGACAATTTAAAGAATAGAAAACCTCATAAATGATGTCTTGGTGAGCATAAAAGCGTTAAAAGATTTTTCGAAAATCCTTACTCGCCTTACAGGTGTGAACAGCACTGTACTTTTCAAATGAACTTTATAAATAATACAAAATAAAACCCTTTCATTAAATAAATCCTTACAAAACCCTAGTTTAAAATTCAACCTCTGCATTTGCAAATAATTGTCACTCCCGCTGTTTATCTCTGTGCTTTGTAAACAAGTAGTGTTTTTCATATTGTGTAATGCCCAAATCAAGCTAAAGGAAACTCACTTTGTAAAGTCACTGTGGGTCAATATATGCATTTATGCCTGATGGCAATCAAATTATGTTTTAAACCACCATCACATTTTCTGAGCCAATGATGAACCAAATACAACAGAGTTTCTACAGTAATAAGATGTATATGAAACATCAGCTTTAATCAGATCAAACACAATGTTATTACAATGAAGCATCACTGAACTTTTACCCTGTATGAACAACAATATTTGTAAATATGTGCATGTTTAATTATCCTGGTAAAGTTACTGGTATTAAAATACCAGTAAAATTAAGTGCTTACATTTACAAAGTCAAACAGATTAGTGGATCATGACCAAGAGGCAATAGTGGATGTTTTTTTCCAATGCCTAAACCACTGATTGAGGTGCAGTAAAGGCACTTGAATATAAAAACACTTCCAGCATGCTTTAATGCAATAACACAGGGATTTCTTGATGACAAAATGAATGCAGATATTTTTACACACAACATAAAACAGGTTTATATCAATATAAACAACCTGAAATGAGCAGATTTAGACAACAATATTTACACATTGGTTACCATAACCCACGTGCACATGCACAAATACATACTGTACAAACGCACATGCTGAATTCAAAGTCATGATATCCTTGAGTTTTTCCTGCGTGAGATGAATCCAACCACGGGAAGTGACCTAACCTCCGAACATTCTTCACAAACATGATTCTCGGTTCAGGTTCAGCTCTGGTTCACTGATGCTTGCAGATGATTTAGATGATTCTCATGACACAACTGGAGTCATGTCCCATAGCTGCATGAACACACACCACACTCAATCTACAGCCACACTTCACTTGATCAAGAGCATATACACAGGGTGTCCTCAGAGTCTTAAAAAGTATTTAATCAATGTAGAAAAATTTAAGGCCCTTAAAAAGTATCAAAGTTTTAAATGCTATTTTTTAAGGTATTCAATGTTATATCATTTTTGATCATGCAATGTATGGTTGTATGCTAAAGTTTGCCTGAATTAAATCTGCGAATATCAGGATGCTGTGTAGTTTATGAAATCAATAAAATCCTGCTAGATTTGACGTCATGCTGCTTCGTTTAATCCAGTAACCAAAACAGCACTATTCTGCAGATTTCAGCAGTTCTATAGGTTTGCTAGATTTAATAGATTTTTAATAATGTTTTAGTTTTGGATTAGTTTCTTACATTAATATTTAGCAAATATACTGCAAGTTAAAATCGTGCCACTGTTTCCGGCTGAAACCTAATGTGGTTATAAGGTTTTAAAATGTATGAAAAAGTCTTAAAAAAGGTCTTACAAGGTATTAAATTTTACTCTCTGATTCCTGTATACTCTGATACAGGCTTATTGCTACAGAGTAATTAACTGTTTATATATAATTCATGTTTCACAGAAGTTTTTGATTATTAAACTGGTATTCAACCATTAAAATGCAGAGAAAAAAAATTGTAAATAAAGAAATCCAGAAACATTTGTGAGATGAATGACTGACCTTAATGACTTTGTCTGTGCCGGAGGTGAGCAGCCAACCTCTGGTTGGTTCATACTGCATATGTACGATGCTGTGCTTGCTGTCATGGAACGTGGCAGTGGGTGCCCTTCTGAACAACAACAAAAGCTTTGGGTGATTCTACTATTAAAGACACACAAATTTAAGATGGTGTGAATCTGACTTACTCCTCATCTGTAATCAAGTCATGACAACTGTCACAAACCCGCACCTCAAACTCAAATCCCATGAGAGGAATTGTGGAACGTTTCGAGGAACACTTGCCACACACGGCCTGGCCACATTTCCTACAATGATGCTGAAAAAAAACAGTAAAATCATGGTGCTTCATATGGTATATCAGACTGCAAAACTATTATTAAACTAAATGAAAACAATTAAAATTCATGTTTCCTGTAGGTTCATTCATCAATAGACATCTATCTAAAATTATGACACCACTTTTGTGATAGAGTTAACCCATTTTAGTTCTATTCTATAAACTACATACATTTTTATTCAAATTCATAGTAATGTATTTAATTTTTATTTATTTTTTTGCATTAAATAATTATAAAGACCCAATGTTTAAATAATTTTAGGCAAAATAATTCCAACTTTGGGTGACGCAGTGGCGCAGTAGGTAGTGCTGTCGCCTCACAACAGAAGGTTTCTCATTTAAGCCTCGGCTGGCCACAGTTGGCCTTTCTGTGTGGAGTTTGCATGTTCTCCCTGCAGTCGCATGGGTTTCCTCCGGGTGCTCCGGTTTCCCCTACAGTTCAAAGACATGCGGTACAGGTGAATTGGGTAGGCTAAATTGTCCGTAGTGTATGAGAGTGTGTTTGTATGTTTCCCAGAGATGGGTTGCGGCTGAAAGGGCATCTGCAGCGTAAAACTTGCTGGATAAGTTGGTGGTTCAACCGGATTAATAAAGGGACTAAGCTGATAAGAAAATGAATGAATTCCAACGTTTTAACTTCAGAAGAGTTTGAAAACAATATTTGATTAAAGAACCTCTCAACAAAACATTTGTTTATCGAACTAATTGACATTTCCAGGAAAAACACTTTAAATTACAGTATTTCTTTTTATTTAAAATTGAGAAGAGATGTTATCAGATAAACTAACATTTAACTCAAATGCATAGCTGCTAAATCAAGAGAAACTTTCAAATTATCTCTTTTTTTCCCTAACTATGCACTTTGAGGATAGTAATCCATTTAATCAGTAGGGCTGCATTAAAATAATTTAACGAGAGTGAAGACATTAATTTAAAAAAAGAAAATACAAATCCTAAACTTTTCAATTGTACTCAATATTATTCTATAAAAGATCTTATTTTATACTTCCCAACTAAACATACCTAGCTTCAAATTTTATTATGATCTATATTCGTGCTGTACCTGCCGCAAGCCAATTTTCTTACTGTCCCACATCTGTTTGAAATTCCAGAAGAAAGGCTGTTCACACTTCTGACACGAGTCACTGTCAAGCCACTCTGGGGTCTAAGACACAGAACAGACATGCTCAAGCTATCTGAACAGACACATGTAACATAAATGGCACACATTCTGTTGTTAGTCCGCTTTGTGCTAAACGCTTCATTCATCACTAGGATTCTCTCACCTCTTGTCGAGTGACATCCATATTCCAGATAACGATTCCCCCATCTGAGCCACAGGAAATGAGCTGACGAGTGTGAGGAGCGTAACACAAACCCTGCACTTTATCACTGTCACACACAGACAAATTGCAGGACATGACAAGCTTGACTTACTTATCCTTCTCTCAAACACAAGACAACAATTCAAACCTACTTGTGGCCCTGCAGTTCAATGGCTGTTCCTTTTCGGCCTCCAATGTCCCACATGATGATTGAATGATCTGAACTTCCAGAAAATAAAACCCTTTGTACGGGATCCCAACACAAGGCCGTAACATTGCCTGCACGCATAATTACACACATAAATCTGTCAACAATATGGTCATTTGCCGGATCAGTTGTAGTGTGCATTTTACCATTAAACAGTATTGTGTGGATGTATCCATAAATATTAAAATACTTGTGCTTTTAAAAAATCTCTGCAAAGTGGTGGTTTGTAGATCTACAAAAATATGTTTAAATTTTACTGAACAAAGTGATTGTCTCCCAAAAGAAAAAAAAATGTTTTGAATTATCTGAAACAAGTTGTATGTAATTCATGTTACTTTGTGAAAATGTACTTATACTTTTTTGTTTAATTTGCATAATGCCAGCCTTTGGTCTTTATTGGGTTGATATAGTAAAATCTGTTACTGTTCGTATTCCTGTGTTCACAAGGATGCCCAATCTGAAGCTAAAATTAAGATGACAGGTAATGATAAATAGTGTTTAGCCATCTGACCAATCAGAGCAGAGTAGGCTCTCAGAAAGGAAAGGTTTACAGAGACCTATTTTTTAACCTGTTTTATTCACTTTCCAAAAAAAAAAACAAAGCTGCAATGTATATAATGAGAAAAGTTTTTGAACTTTTGGATTTAAACATTTTTGGGACAATTTAGGCAGAAAAACAATGTTATAGCAGAGTCAGTTATCATCCACGCCACCAGGGGACGACATCCACAATGGAATGATAAGAGGCAGTCATTTAAATTTTAATTATTGGTGCATTTTGGACAATAAGCTGATTTGTGCTCCCCACCTGCTTTAACTTATGAGTAATTAATTATTTATAAACCTGTTTGTTGCTTGCTAGGTTGCTAGGTTTTAGGCAACTTCTTTGCTGATCTTCCATGAGTTTGTTGCTTAAATGTTTGCTTTTGACACAAGGCCATATTTCTTAGTAAAGGTAACCATCTGAATTGGTTAAAAAAAAAACCTAAATGTAACAGGGTAAATGATGAAAGTGCTAATTCCTTTGAAAAAAATCTATTTCATCATGTGTCTTACTGTTGCAGTGTGCTGTCTGTGTAAGCACCTGTGTGGCCTTTAAATGTGGTGACCAGGCTGCAGTTGTCCTGTTCCAGCTTTAGGATTGTCACTTGCCCAGAATGATCTCCCACGAAGGCATGTCTGGTTTCCACATCAAATCTTACACAGACTGTCAAGAAGCACAAGCTGTAAAAGTCCTGAACCCCCACCAGAATCTAAGCTATCTAAATGATTACTGTAGAGATGCACCTGAGAAAAAAATGAAGTTTACAGCCCAAAGTGTTGCAGGAATGGTGTCTGAACTTGGAGGAAAAAAAATATTTGACTTAATAATGAATGTTCAATTAACAACTAAAATAAGGTCTGTTTTAAACATAAGTTGATGATACCACAGCATAAACTGCCCATGAGCTACTTTTGTAGAACTGCTACACATTTCTAAATTTTAATTACATTAAAATATTATTAATTTTGTGTGCACTACAGAACAAAACATTAAAGTAATTTAATCCCTAATGTTCTTCAGACATTGTGCTCTCTACAGAAGCAAGTTTCTACCACATATTGTCATATTTTACAGGATGTAACCCAAACTGGTTTTGAGCATGAGGGTGAGTAAATGTTCAGTCTCTTTATCTAGGTATATTAGTAATATTATTGTGCATACTTTACATTTAAGTTAATTATTTGTGTTTTTATTGATATGATTGGAAAGATGGGCAATTGTATAAGACAGCTTATTACCTATAATAAGCAACATAATAAAGTCAATTTAATCTTTCATCAAAGGGCAGAGTTATCTGCAAACATTGAAAGCTAGACTAATTCATGACCATAATTTATAATGTCTGGTTATAAATAGGCATGTATTGTGGACTGGTGTATGAATGGATACTGTAGTCCAGACACCCATGCTGTGGTCCTGTATGTGCCCAGCTGCTGTCCGCTCTCCGAGCAGTGCCACGTAAAGCTCTTGTCCTGACCTGTGCTTAGAACCCACTCCATCTCTAAGACAAACAGCACCACGGTCACGCCACCCTGATGAGCTAACACAAACAAGAGACAAAAGACAATGAGCAAAGCACAGACAGCTCACTTTACTACATTCAAAAATTCAAGCATGCTCTCCCATTCAAACTAATACAAAACAGAGCAACTAATGACACAATTTCAGGAACAAACCACCACACTCAAAATCACAGCCATTATTGCACTGCCCTCTGTGTATCAATAATGCTATCAATTTTCTGTGCTGGGATAGGCCATGCGTTTTAAAGAAGGTTAGCTTGTCAATTCAGGCCCTAATGAGACATTGTAACTGTGAGATGAACGTTCAGAATAGGTGCCTTTTGTTCTTTGGTTGCTGATATATTGAAGAAACTAGAATATCAATCATCTGCATTTTCTCACATAGCATGGACCTAAAGGATAGGTCACCCCGCATAAAGATTATTTGAAATCATTTTTTGTTTCTTTGTAGGTAGGATAGGAAAGAACATTTGAATGTATAATTATAAACCACAAGGGGAAATCCAAACAAAAGACCAAACAAATTAAGGGTATCAACAGAATAAATAAATTTTTCTGACAATTCAAATCAAAGGAGAAGATAAATGTGATAACAACTCTACATGTTCATTTTATTAATGTTGAGTTAAACATGAAAAGCGATACTAGATTTGTGACTTACCCTGATATGTCCGAGCAGGAGTCATTTGGTTGTAGTCTTCTGACAGAACAAACTCCTGCAAAGAGAAGCTCCTGTCTTAATGAACCTTAGTAGGTGTAAGAGAACCGCAGCAGCTGCACTTTGTGATTGGAAATAATAATAATTTGACATACCGACACAGTGCCATTTTCCAACCCTACGGAGATCCTCCTTGTCTCTGGGTTAAATGACATGCATGAACATGCAACTGCAACATAAGAAAGAGAATCAATATCTGTTTCATAAAATCCACCGAGCAGCAGTAAACTTTAAACACACTCACTCAAATAAAGTCACCTCTTAAAAAGTCAGCAAAAGTTAACTAGAAAGTAAGTAAACAATGTGGCCGTCAGTGCTGAGAAATGAAACTGTCTGAACCTGCAAATGAGCTGAACTTCATGTCTAAACTAGTTTCACTTCACATTTCACACTTTTATAGTAAAATTCCTGAAGTTCTGTGGTTACCTGTCCCATAACTCTCAGCCATATCAAGCTCAGGTACCCAGAAAGCTGCCTAGAAACTCAAATTTCAAAGTACCATAGCAGTTGCCATCCACAATTACAGCTTTTTTTTTTTTTTAAAGAAGTTGCTTATACATTTAGGTAGTTGCTGTTTTTGGGGCCTAACTGCAATATACTGTTGCGTAAAAGGCTTTTTTTTTGGCAGTTGACAACTTTAAGACTAAACATACTATATGTTTGCTTTTTTCTAATCCTTTTTTCACCAATCTATTTTGACTGCTGAAGTAAATTAACAAAGCTTAAGGATAAATCCCACGATGATAAGTTTCTGTTTGACAAAACCAAAGCAGATCAATCAGGCTTTGTTTGGTACAGCAAAATCACATGGATTAAAACATACTCATGAGTCTGCCTAAGATTAACAGATTAAAGTACATGAAAAATGTAAACATTTACACAGCAAGAAGAAAAAAAACATCCATGACAATAGACAACCAAAAAGAGTAATAAAACATAATAAAAATGTTGGTGCACTGCAAACTTAGACTTTACCAAGCAAGCGAATAAACCTAATAAGCCTAATGCTATAGAAAGCAGTGTTTTTGGCAGAAAATAACAGGAATAAATGTTTTAAAAGTGGTGATCAATGGTGGATCAAAGGCACATAATACTCAACCAAACAAAAGCAGCTTGTATATTCAAACCAGGTTTCTAATTTTAGACTTGTTTTTCATACGATGTTACTACTCTAGCAAAATTGCCAGAAGCTGTGTTGGGCTGAAAACTCACCAGGCATTGTGTGATAGACACTGGGCCAATACTGTCCACTGTCCCTCTTCAACCACACACGGATTGTCCTAAAACAAATTAAAATAAATAAGCTTGATTACAAAATTTACATGAAGGTACACACAACATACATTGTGTTAGCAAAGTGGCAAGCAAAACAATGCACAAATTACCAGGAGTAATTATAAGCAAGTAACATAATTGTAAGCAAGTATACATGTCTGCTTGAGATCGATCTCTAAATCACTTTAAATCACCAGACACAATAAGACCACAAAAGGAGCTAAAATTGTGGCTGGGATCAGCGATGCCAACATCATAGGATGGGCCGTATGCATTCTGTATTTTGAAAAGTATGAATGAAAAACAGGGGCGAGGTAGTGGCGCAGTAGGTAGTGCTGTCGCCTCATAGCAAGAAGGTCGCTGGGTCGCGGCTCAGTTGGCATTTCTGTGTGGAGTTTGCTTGTTCTCCCTGCCTTCACGTGGGTTTCCTCCGGGTGCTCCGGTTTCCCCCAGAGTCCAAAGACATGCGGTACAGGTGAATTGGGTAGGCTAAACTGTCCATAGCCTGTGAATGAGTGTGTGTGGATGTTTCCCAGAGATGGGTTGCGACTGGAAGGGCTGGATAACTAAACTTGCTGGATAAGTTGGCGGTTCATTCCACTGTGTCGACCCCGGATTAATAAAGGGACTAAGCCGACAAGAAAATGAATGAATGAAAAACACTTTTTTTGAAGTGTGTTAAATGATTTTTGAATGTGTTAACAATTTAAAACTATTAACTGTTCATTGGTCTGAAGTAAACACCATAACATGTTCTGTCTTGTTAAAGAACAAAAGTATGAAGCAAGAGTAAGATATCTTTGCAATAGGGCCCCTACTATCTCACACTTTAACCACATGTTTTGCTATTTTCACCCTTCAAATGTAAAATAAGATGCTTTCTCACCCACTGCATTTCACCATGTACTGACTAACATACAAGCTCTCCTGTCTGGTTACAGAAGTCAACATGGGTCTGACATTGACCTCTGTTGCACTTTTAGAGTGCTTATTTGCCTGAACAGAAGGTGTGCTTGCAAAGTCAGTCATATGACACTCAGTACTCTGAACTGTGAAACATCTCAGTTTGAACTGGAGTTCTGAATTCAAAGTAAATATCTAAGATTCATTCAGGTTGGTTCAATGATTCCATAGATAACCTTTTTTGTATGTTACACTGTTACAGCATTGGATGTCCACAAGCAAATATCTGTACGTTTAATAATGTTGTAAACAATATTTTTTAAACAGACCACTTATTTTAGTTTATTTATTTTAGTTTATATTTTTTATATTTTTTTTTATGTTAACAAGGACTAGGTTTTAGCCAAAAAAAAAAATCTAAAGATTCTACGAGAGAAAGTATTTTCTATTATACTATATATTTTTCTTTCAAAAAAACTGTAAAAGTATGCAAGTCAAATTTTATATTATACACAGGGACTGCTACCCAGTTTTGAGGAAAACACGATACAGCGGGGTTAGTTGCAACAGGGTGTTATAATTAAGCCAGACACTGTTGGACACTGTTTAAACAAACAAAACAATTTTTGAATGTAATGTTGAGAACTTTTAAAAAATAAAATGTTTTTTTAATTGAAAATATTTAACAGATTTTTTTTATTTTGCTAATGATGCAAATAAATGCAGTGTATAATAATGGATAATAAAGTACTGAGGAAATATTCATTTATTCATTCATTTTCTTTTCAGCTTAGTCCCTTTATTAATCCGGGGTCGAAACAGTTGAATGAACCGCCAACTTATCCAGTAAGTTTTTATGCAGCAGGTGCCCTTCCAGCCGCAACTCATCTCTGGGAAACATCCACACACACACACTCATACACTACGAAAAATTTAGCCTACCTAATTCACCTGTACAGCATGTCTTTGGACTGTGGGGGAAACAGGAGCACGCGGAGGAAACCCACAGGATTGCACGGAGAACATGCAAACACACAGAAACACACACTAGAAATAGTAACATTTTTACTCCTGGCACTTTTGGCAATACTACACAGAAACCATAGATCCCGTCGTCACACTTTCAGTGCTCATTTGTTCTAACCCCATTACTTTGTTTAATATTTGGCCAAAACCAAAAAGTGTTACTTTGTGCCCCTCTCTCCTCTATGTCTTAAATAATAATTTAATAATTTAAACAAATGTGCCTATAGTTATTTTCAACCAAATCCTTTCTTCATAAATCTACTAACACTTTTTAAACATTAAATCATTTTCCTCACAATATTGCTGATCTATCATTTCCTCAGAACACTGAACTGTTTTTCATAATTTTAATCAAATATGTTATAGAATAAACAAAACAATAACAGCCTAAAGCTATTTCTTTTTGATTAACAGCATTACTAATGGACATTACTTAATAATAAGTTATTATTCTTCTAACCTTTCCATAATTAATGTAAACGAAACTGGCAGGGGTGTTTTTCGTCCACAGCCTGTACCTTACTGATTGAAATAAGTGATTCCTTCATCAAATTGTTTTTTTGTTATATTTTTCAGTAGGTTATATAAGGTTATATATAATGAAATACTCAACAGCCCAGAGCTAAAAGCGTTCTGCTTTTGTCAGTGTTTTTAGGCAGGAAAGGAAAAGGTAGTCACGCGCTTCAGAAATATGCTTCAGTGCAGCGCTTCAACACATTAAACACACACATATACAAGTTATATACTTATTATTATTATCAAATTAATTTACATTACCTGTCTAAAGTCAGTTGGAGATTATACTCTTATATACACCAATTGTCGTTTATTTAGCATCAGACAAGCGTGCCTAATCTGTATTCCACGACAGTACTTAACATGTCACATTTTATATTACAGTCTACTTATTAAGATGTCAGCGGCGCTTATAAGATTACCGTCTGTAGTGCGCACTGCAATGTAAGTCATTGTTTTGGGTTTCTAATCAAACGTGTTCTGACCTGTCTTGAGATACGCTGATAACGCCGTCCTCTTTGGGGATGATCACAGCCGTGTTCACCACATCTTGAAAACCCTCGATCTTGCTCAGCAGGACGGGCTTGCGTGTCTGCGGGCGGGGATGAATCTCTGCCGCCATGGCGCCGTAGTTTGTCCGACACCTGAAGCCTCTTTCGGCAGCATAACACAGACCTGCAGCGCGGTGAAATGCGGTCAGAGTCAGAGATGCTGCAGGTCAGCTGATTTACCTCTCAGCCTGTTCTGTTTACAGTCACACGCGATCTATATACCACGATGCTTACGGTCTGCTTTCAGCTCCCATAGACGCAGACGATCCGACTTCGGAGTAAATCACAGATGAATGCGTTTGCGATGTGCAGCGTTGACGCAGACGAATGCCATACTTGTAAAACCGGAAGTTTTTTCTCTCTTTTTATTTACATATGGTTATGTTAACATCACATACTTTGGTTCATTGCACCATTGCACCTACAATGCTGTTTGCTCAAATGAAACGATTAAATTAATCATTATGTTAGATTAGTTATTAGTTTTTGTTTTTTTTTTTTTTACTTTTGGGTAAATAATAAAACCCACAAAGTGGAAATTGTTCTATTTATAGTAAGGCCTTATCATGTGTATTCCGACACCACAGAATCAGGCTACTGTACATCCTCCAGTGACAGTCTACAAGAAACCATCACAACCCTGTTATTGACTAGTTATAATCTCTGTAGAGTGCTGTTAATTTGGTTGACTTATTTATTTACACATATATTACTTACACATTGGATTACTTAAAATGATTACAAATCAGTAATATAATCTAAATTACAATATTTAGTTAATGTATTCTGATTATACAAAAGTGTTCTGAAGAAGAAAAAAATGCAGTTTACTGTTTTTGTGATGGATTTGTGATTATGTAAACCATGAAAATGTTACCAATTTATATTATGAGCATTATACATGTTTATACATTCATTCATTCATTTTCTTTTTGTGCCTTAATTAAATAGGGATCGCCACAGCAGAATGAACCGGCAACTTATCCAGCATATGTTTTACACAGCGGATGCCCCTCCAGCTGCAACCCCACACCAGGAAACACCCACTCTTACATTCACACTCATACACTACAGCTAATTTAGTTTATTTAATTCACCTTTGCTGCATATCTTTGAACTCTAGGGGAAACCGGAGCACCTGGAGGAAACCCACGGAAACACAAACTCCACACAGAAATGCCAACTAAGCCAGCTGGGGCTCAAACCAGCAAACCTTCTTTGTGTGAGGCAGTCGTGCTATACACTGCATATAATAATGTATACCATCAAATTCAATTCAATTCAATTCAATTCAGCTTTATTTGTATAGCGCAGGGGTACTCGTTGCTGAATATTTGGATGAACGAAAACACTGTAGATGTTGATTTATTCAAGAACCAATCAGCTAGCTAACACGCATGCTCCTGTAAACAACGAATATGCTAATTCCGTATTTTCAGATGCCAATCGGTTGAGGCGTTTTGACGCACGGTACTCGGGCAGCGCTTGGAGGGCGGAGTCAAATGCTGAACGCAGAATAAAACCACTGCAGCCCGCGAGCGAACCTCAGTGTGAGGAGAATCATGGACGTAAACTAAACAGAAAGTTACCATGACAAAAGTTAGGCATTTATTTAAAATTACAGCAACAACACCCGTTTCCCTTGTAAATCAACAACCTTTCCCCCCCAGGGTCTGAGGTTTGCTTAAGTTTACAAGGCATCGCTCTTTCAACAATAACTACAGTTACACTCTTGACAGAAAGAATGCGCGAGTCAGTTAGCATTAGCCGGCTAGCAGCGTGCTGACAGCAGCGACAGGAGGCGAACAAAAGATTGCTCTGCATTTGTCCGATTTCACTGACACTCGGTCCATGTAGAAGGGGCGAATATCAACACAATGCCCGTGCTACTTTTTCTAATAGACACGTCCGCCTCCATGAACCAGCGCTCCCATCTGGGCACTAGCTATCTGGACATAGCGAAGGGCGCAGTTGAGACTTTCCTGAAGGTAAATGAACACACGCCTTTGCTTTCTCGCGGTCTTAATGTATTGAAAGCGTAAAACCCAGCTTTTCCTCACTTTTCTCCACAGCTGAGAAGCAGAGATCCGGCCAGCAGGGGAGACAGATACATGTTAGTGAGTTTCGAGGAAGCGCCGGCTGGCATTAAGGTACAGACTCTTTTATTACATTCCCAAACCGCTTTATTTAACTCCGGACATCTTCATAGCTCACATCGTCTTTTTGCCTTTGAAGAGGTCGAGACTACATCTGTGGTGTGAAAACATTTTGCCCAGCTTAAATTTGAGTTTAAACATGGCCGACATTTTGTTCAGTGTGGCAACAGAGCTCTCTCTCTCTCTCTCTCTCTCTCTCTCTCTCTCTCACACACACACACACACACACACACACACACACCGTTGTGTGTGTGTTCACGCGTGTATGCCAGAGAGATAGAGGAGGGGGGGGGGGGGTAACCTGACTTAGTTGTGCCACCCATAGAGAGAGAGAGAGCGCGCTAGGAGTCGTCAGTACTCTCTACATTATACCTCAGATCGATGTGAGAAACTCTTGAAGCATAACTAATCCTTTGCTCTGTCTTTATTTCACAGGCTGGATGGAAGGACAGTCATGCCACTTTTATGACTGAGCTAAGGAACCTGCAAGCAGTTGGACTGACATCGTTTGGCCAAGCTTTAAGGACAGCTTTTGATTTGCTCAATCTTAATAGATTAGTTTCAGGGATAGACAACTATGGACAGGTATGTTATAAACCATTGACTGGTATAAAGTCTGTGGCCTAATCCCATGCACCCATCCCCAACATTACAGTTAAGCAAGCACCCAGTAGACTGACACTGCCAACACAATCCCAAGCGCCCCAGGTAGCCCACAGTAATAACAAATAAACTCTTGAATGCAAATAAGGGCGTTGATTACAGAGAAATGATTTGTTTGTGTGCTCCACTGCTAGAGTCCTAGGTTGAGTGGGTTGTTGTTTTAGCAGGTTATGAATCCAAAAACGACAGAAAATATGATCCCACTTCACATAGGTGTTATAATAGTAAGATAGAAAGGCCATATGTCATATTATATTTGACAACCATAGATGGCACTATTGGACAATTTCTATAGTTGTGTGATTTTGTATTATACATTTTTTGTTGACTTTTTTTTAAACTACTGTTATGTGGCCACTTTGTTCTCATGCAGCACACCATGATATTTAGGTGTTCTGTGTGCTTACCTGGATGGTGTTTTGCAGTTACAAAGGTTCTGACTGGTTTTAATTTGATTACTGTTTAGTTGCTATTAGGGCTGCGCAATGCATACTTTCAGTATCAATACTGCCGTGTGCATATTCGCAATAGTCGCATCGCAAAATTGTTCAATCTGAATTATAGTTGACCAGGAGCTACACAATTATACTTCTTCATTGTATTTATGATTTATGCAAAATGTTTAGTTTTTGTCTTGTTTCTAGTCCAAATATCTACATTTCAAAGCAAAAACAAGATCATTTAAAATATCCCACTGGCAAATAACTTCCTAAAAAAAAGCACAAAAAAAAAACGTTTTCCCATTATTTATTCTGACGGTGGAAACTAAACTATTTTTACTTGGTCTAAGAATTTTTTTGATATTTTGACTAAAGACAAAATTTTATTTTATTTTTTTTGCAATTTAATTATTAAATTTTTTGTACGCAAATACTACTGGCTTTTCAGACCATCTTCTGAAACTATTCATATCGCAATATTTATTGCAGAAAAATAAAATATCGCAATATCAGATTTTCTAATATCGTGCAGCCCTAGTTGCTGTGTTTTTTTTTTTATTCTGTTTTTTGCATACTAGTTTTAGTGTTGTGCTCATTGGAATATCTTGTTTGTGAGTTCTTAACTTGGTTAACAGTAAGTAATTTACATGATAATCTTTAAGACCCTGGTTCCTTCACCCACTTTAATGTTTTTTGCACTCATGTTTAAACTGATTTTTAATGTTTACATTTACAAGTCTCACACAGACATTGCAACAACTTCAAATTAGTTTGTTTTGAAAGTAACATCTGAATGTGCTTCATACATTCCTACATTATTGATAACAGACACTGGGTCTCTTTCTAATTTTTACAAAAATATCTGCACCTTTTAATCATTCTGAACTGAGGGTGTTCACACTTGGCAAAATTGGTTTGATTAAATATAGATTAGGTGCATTGTGCATTAGGGGTGCAGTGGATTGCTGACTCCACCTTTTCTTCACTAGTTAATGTATAACCATCATTTGCACATACAGTAAGTACATTTATGACAGTCTGCATACAGCATTGGTTTGAGTGTAAGTTCTGTCACAAAATATAACTTAATCTAAATGTATCAGTTTCTTATTTGGCCAAACCATGCACCTATCGTCAGCTTAGAGATTCTAAAACAATACCTCTTTTTGTCTTGCACTGTCATCTTTGTTACTAAATTAGATTTTATTTTTGCAGTATTTCAATGCTTTAATGCTTTCTTTATATATATTTATCTAATATATATTAGATTAGATAAATTTCTACAGATTAGGCTTATAATAGAGCTTTAAGTTGTTACATAAAAAAAATACCATTTAATCTTTTCTTCTGCCTATGGTAAATTGACACAGATTCCTATCTTGTATTGCTGTCAATGCTTGCTAATAGATGTCTCTTGATTTCAGATTCATGTATTTGTTTCAGAAATGACTCATCCGTAAAATCTACTTTTATTTGAAGAGACAATTAAGTGTAAACTGACAGAACTGAGCATTTTTATTATGTGTTGCACTCATACATTTATTACATTTTCAATTTGTGGGATCAGTTTAACTGGTTAACGTTTAAAGCAGTGTGTATTTCGAGCTGTGACTTTGTCTAATGAGCTTTAGCTTTTAGGAGTATTGTTTTGTAATTATGTTGTTTTATCTGGCTTTTGCAGGGTAGAAACCCTTTTTTCTTGGAACCTGCTATCATTGTGGCCATAACTGATGGCAGCAAGCTGACTGGCAGCTCTGGGGTACAAGATGAGGTGGGTCATGTGTCAGTATGTGCTAACCTTGAAGACTTTCTCCATAACGGCCATTCTGTCTAGTCATTAGATTTTTTTTTTCTTTCCAGTTAAACTTCTGTTTTCAGATTTTTTCCATTTCTTTCATATCTATTTTTATTATTTATGCGAAAATTCGCAAGAATGCAAATGTTATAAAAGGGTATTATCCCTTACATGACCTTTTCCTTGATATGTTGACTTGAATGTATTTATCTCTTTTCTTTGCTTCAGTTACATTT